GTCCTGGAGCAAGCAGGTATTTTGCTTAGTAGGTAGACCACCGATTTCTACGGTGCATTGATGGGAAGGTGAGACTTTCTTTTGCATGACAAAAGCTGCAAAAGCCTTCTAAAGCCTTTTGCATGTGAAACTTCAAAGTGGTAGATGATAAGACACAAAATTCGCCACCTGCAGGTATTCTGTCCTGGTCCCTTTCCTGATAGAAACACCTAGCGATGTCTTCTGTCCAAAGACAAGTGCTGGTTTGAGAAGCTGAGCAGTATTCTGCTTGCTCGAATTCTACAAACTGCAGAAAGGGAGCAGGCATGCTCTCTGTCTAGATCACTGCAGAGCCACCGGGGCTGGGGAGGACGTTGTACACGTGCAAATTCAACCTCCCTGTCCTAGAGCAGATTCGGTTTGCGCTGAGGCGTTGTCTCCCAGGGGAGTCTGGTTTCTCCAGCAGCACCTCGTTAGCCAGTCATCGGCCCGAGAGCAGAACTGCATTTGTGGGTTGGGGTCTTGGCATTGGTTTGGTTTGTACTCGGTGTCCCCCAGATCGAGGAATTACTGCCCCTGTCCTCTCTTGGCTGCACGGTCTTTCAAGAGCCTTCAGCTCAATGCTTTGCCTCCTTTCCATTCGATTCTGCTCCCCGTAAAAGCGTGCTGCTGTCTCCCTGGCCTGTTCTGTACCTCTGAAGCTCTCGCTGTAGGTGCTGTGAGTGTTGCCTTCTCCTTGCTGCAGGATGACAAACGCTGTGAGTGGATTTACCGGGGTTCCACACGCCTCGAGCCCATGTTCAGCATGAAAACTTCCACAGCCTCCACCCAAGAAAAGAAGCAAAGTGGACAAGCAAGGACGCGTCCCAATGTTGGTATGTGGCATCTTTTTCTTTGATTTGTATCCTGGAATTTGAATGAGCGCATTGTGAATTGGCGGGGGCGGGTGGGTTGTTTTGGTTTTTGTTTGGTTTTGGTGGGGTTTTTTTGGCAGAACTCCTGGAGATTTAAGATTTACATGGGCTTTTCCTCCTGGCACAAAAGATGCCGCAAAGCCAGACTGCAGTTGTGTAACGTGGCCAGGGTCTCTTTGGGGTGAGAGGCTGTGACTCGGGAGCTCAGCCAGTGACCTGGTGCCTCTGTTTTGGTTGCCTCTGGGGACTGAAGCAATATTTTGTGGCTAGCGCCCCAGACTTTGGTTGACAGTAGAGACTTTCCCCGTTGATACTCTGCTTTTTCCGCTTCCCCACTAGGTGCTGTCAGGAGCAAAGGGCCTGTAGTACAATATACCCAAGATTTAACGGGAGCTGGTACCCAGTACAAACCTTTAGAGCAAATGCAGGCAGCCTCGCTGGCCGCACGGTCCGTTTCTCCGCAGCCTGCTGAGATGGAGTAAGTACCTGAGTGGGGTCTCTGCTTCCACCACTCCGTCCTTTGCGTTTGGTCTCCAGTGCCCAGCTCTTTCAGGCACCACCCTTTCTGTGTAGAGGGATCCTCAGGTGCAGGTTTCCTCCCTGACGAGGCTTGTTTCCTGGTTACACAAGTCACTCGTAGTCATGCTTCTGGGGAGAGTGTAGATAAAGGCTCCTGGATGAGTAATTGGGGGTGGGGGAGCTGACAGCCCAGCACCCCTGAGCCAAATGCCACGTTCTTACTCAGGGCTGAAGCTTCGTGCTTGCTGTGTTTCCAAGTTAGAACATTTGCTCCTTCTCTTCTGAAAATCTGAATTGCTCCCTCGTGTCATGATCCAGGCGCTGGCCCCCGGCTGCCTTGTATCCCTCCACTTGGACTGACCTGCTCGCAGACCTCAATGACTTACGAGGCACTGAGAACTCGGGATCAGTGGTCGGTCTCGGTGGGCACGGACCAAACCTGACAAAGCTAAGCCACGGCCAAGTCGCCCACGGTCCTCCTGCTGCCAGGGGCCCAAGCGGGACGTTCTCGGAGGTGCAGGCTAGTGCCGAAGGAGGCCTGGACGAAGGAGCAGCTCGGCCTTGTGATGAAGGCAGCGTGTTGTAGAGCACCAGGGCACCTGAGCATGAGCTCTGGGACTTTAATAACGTTCTAGGGGAGAGAGGTGCTGTCCCCGTTCATTTTTGCCACCGCTGTGGATTTCCCGTCCGAATTTACGGACTCCTGGCCCCCTGCCAGCATGTCCTCCGCTGTGACTGCGCCTTGCTGCATGGGCAAAAGGGAGAAGGGGGATGTCCCAGCTGTAAGGGACCTGTGTAGCAAGTCAAGCTTTATTCTCCAGATGCTCTCTGGGTGTAGCAGCACCTAAGAAACCCCGCCTGCCCCCAGCCTCCGGTCTCAGGAGGGGTTCCTTTCCAAGTACCAGTGCAGTATGAGCCCTTCTGCCCCTGGATGTGAGGGGTAACTTGGAAACGCTGCTCCTATGCCACTCTCACCAAGACTTGAGAGTCGAAGCCGTAATAGCCTTGTTCCTCATCTCTTGCATAACTGAGAGGAGAGGCCGATGCCGAAGGAGAGCTGCTCCAGCGTGAGCAGTGCAGCGTGGGCTCCTCTGCTGCCAGCCCAGGGCCCCGCCGGTGGAGAGAGGAAGAGCTGGGCTGCTGCCCTAACACCGGGGCACCCTCAGCTCCCGGGGTGTAGGAAGGCTGTGCAGTGAAGATGATGAAGCTGGACTGCAGCAGTCAGCCAGCCTGCAGTCCCGCTGGCTGCTGAATCTCCCCTTTTCCATTGAATAGTCCTTGCAGTGGTTACAAGAAACACATTCTTTTTTTTTTTTTTTCCTCACAGAGGCTTTGACTTTAGGATCTTGTTTCAGACCTAGTACAAGCAGACACTGCAGGCCTTTCCCTGCCCTGGCGTTCAGTAGTGAACTGCTTAAAGACAACTGGTTTTCAACACGGACTGAAGGCAGCGTGCTGTACCCATGGCCCTGCTGTCCCGAGGGGATGCTGTTGGGTTAAAAACACACTGGGTTTAGATTATTAGCACTGGGAGAACGGTTTCTTGGCTCTGAGGAAGCCCTGGTTCTCTTCCCTCCCCAGTCTCGCTTTCCAGTTTTTCTGCAGTGCCGGGGAGCTGCTGCCAGCCATTTCTGACTGTTTAAAGCCCGTTGATGGAAGCTTTTTTTTTTTCTCTTGCTCCTGAATTTTTAAATGTATGTTAATACCTTGCTGTTAAGGCAGATGTTTGCAGAAGCAGTCGCCCCCTCCTGTTCTCACTGTCTCCTCCCTTTCTGCCCTGATAACGTAACTATGTTCTGCCACTTGTGGGAAAACCAGTGGCTGGTTTGGGGTGTTCTGTTTAATCCATATAAATGGATTGGAAACCTCCGCTGTTGTTTTCCCAGGGTGTGAGGGCCACTGTCTTCCAGGTGCCTCCCGCCTTCCCGATGTTGTTCATCGGGCTGCAGGGGTGTTTGGGAGCCCCTCGCACCCCTTTCGTCAGCGATATTATTACATTCCTGTGCACGCTCTTATCTTGTTCCTCGGTGCAGACAAAAGAGCCCTCTGTATTTCTTGTTCCTCCCACTGCTCAGTACTGTTGCGCTGACTGAGCCTCTGTCAGCTCCTGTTTCTGCTATTGCAGGGCTTTCTTCATGTACTGGTTTGTCCGGCTTCCTGAAACCAAGGCCTTGGACATCCTCGTTACGCTCCCTCTCACCCTCGTGCCTCACTTCCAAATACATAGCACCATGTCAGAGTTACTTTTAAACCTCGCTGCGTTCTGGCGTTTGGTCGGGGTTGCTGCGGCATCGCCGTAGCACAAGTAGTCAGGGACGGGCTGGTTTTCACACTGGTTAGGAAAAACCTGCTCGGTTTTGCTTGGATTCAGCACTGTTACTGACTCCCGTGCGGGGAGAGTTCCTCTGACTGCCCCTGTCTGATCTAAATCCGGGCGGTTGTGCGAGCGTGTGCATCTTGCAGATCGCCTCCCTTCTTCCCTCGTGCAGGTGCTTCGACAGCCAGCTGGCCCAGTCGAGAAAGCAGGTGGCCAAGAAAAGCACTTCCTTCCGTCCTGGCTCCGTGGGCTCTGGGCAGTCGTCGCCGCCTTCTCCTGTCCTGAGCGATACACCTCCGGCGGGAAGGACCGGCGCGGCCCAGCAGCATCGGTGAGCAAAGCTTCCTCGCCCTTGTTACAGCTCCCCGCGTCCCTGGGAGGGTTTGGGATGCCGGTGTGGGTTTGTTTGGTTCAGCACAGGTTTATTTGGTGGGCCGACACCTTTATCTTCCACCTTGTCTGGTCCTGAGCATTTGTCTTCCTCTTACCTCGTTCTCCCTCCTGGACAACTGTTGTTGTTGGCTTGAGCCTGGAGCGTCTCTTATCAGCTCCGACCAGCACTTACCTCAGTGGGCCCTGGCCAAAGCCCGCTTATTTTTAGAGGACTCCCGTTTCTATGAGCTTTCTAGGGTCGGGGGGAAGCCGCTCTTCCTATAAATCTGCAGGTGGCTTTTCGGCAGCGGTGGCTTTGCGGCAGCCGATCCACAGCACAGAAGCCGTTGATCCACGCGTTCGGAGACCACAACCAGCTCGTGCTTGTTTTTGCTTCCCTAGCTCCGATTCGGGGTGGTTCTTGGTGTCCTCTGCTGCGGGTGACGCTCCCTTTGGGGCCCACCCAGCCTTGCTCCCGGGGGACGCCGAGCTTTGCGTCTCCCTGGACTAAGCAGCCGAGCCAGCGGCGGGCCCCGGTGTGTAACTAACTAGCAGCTGCCTCGGCAGGAATCCGGTGCCCGAAATCGGGGAGCGCCCCGCTCCTTCCCTTAGCCGAGTGTGTCCCTTTCGCTGCGGCAGGCTCCCCGGTGGCCAGGCGGGCAGCGGCCCGGCCCACGCCTTCCACGGCATGATGGACCGCGTGCCCAACGAGCCCTCGTACCGAGCCCCGCTGGAGAAGCTCTTCTACCTGCCGCACGTCTGCAGCTACACCTGCCTGTCCCGCGTCCGCCCCATCCGCAACGACCACTACCGCAGCAAGAACCCCCTGCTCATCCCGCTGCTCTACGACTTCCGACGGATGACGGCCCGCCGGCGGGTCAACCGCAAGATGGGCTTCCACGTCCTCTACAAGACGCCGTGCGGGCTGTGCCTGCGAGCCATGCCGGAGATCGAGCGCTACCTTTTCGAGACGGACTGCGACTTCCTCTTCCTGGAGATGTTCTGCCTGGACCCGTACGTGCTGGTGGATCGCAAGTTCCAGCCCTACAAACCCTACTACTACATCACGGACATTACCAAGGGCAGGGAGGACGTGCCGCTGTCCTGCGTCAACGAGATCGACAACACCCCGCCGCCGCAGGTGGCCTACAGCAAAGAGCGCATCCCCGGCAAGGGGGTTTACATCAACACCAGCTGGGAGTTCCTCGTGGGCTGCGACTGCAAAGACGGCTGCAGGGACAAGTAGGTGACTCCTCGTGTGTCGTGGGGCCTGGGGGGGGGGGGGGGGGGCAGCACCCGGGCTGTGCTCCCTGCCCTGGTGCCCTCCCCAGCCGGGCCTGCTCTGGCCTTTAAGCCCACGCAGCTCTGGTCGGCTGCAGGCTGGCCCCCCCAGGTCAAGCCCCCTGTGCCCGTCTCCGCGTACGCGCGGGCGGGAAGAACGTGATTTCTTTGCCTGTCTGTAAAACCAACCAACCTCCGGGCCACGGGGTGGCTTTTTCCGTGTGTCTCTCTAGATCGAAATGTGCTTGTCACCAGCTGACAGTCCAAGCGACGGGCTGCACCCCGGGCGGGCAGATCAACCCCAACTCAGGATACCAGCACAAAAGGCTGGAAGAATGCCTCCCGACAGGGTGAGCAGAGCTGCCTCTTCTCCTTCCCCCCCCCCCCACCCCGAATAGCAGCCCAGAGGCAATACTGCCCGCAGCTGAGTGCAGCTACTGAGGACCTGCCTCCGTTCTTGATTTGAGTGCGGACGTGTGGCCCGGTCCCGCTCTGCAGCTCCGCTCTCCCACGTCTGCTGAGCTTCAGCTCGCTGCTGCGAGTCCCTTTGCACCAACACTGGTACGCCAGCACGCCGTGGGAGACGGCTTTGTCGAGGGAGGTGTCACTCTTCTCCTTTCTTCCAGAGTTTACGAGTGTAACAAGAGGTGCAAGTGCAACGTCAACATGTGCACCAATCGCTTGGTCCAACACGGGCTCCAAGTCCGCCTGCAGTTATTCAAGACGCAGAACAAAGGCTGGGGCATTCGCTGCCTCGATGATATTGCTAAAGGCTCTTTTGTCTGCATCTACGCAGGTAGGATCCCACCCCCCTGAGCCAGCAGGTAGAATCCTCTCAGCTCTGAAATAGGTGCTTGGAATGAAAAGCCTCTGTTGAGCCAGCGCTCTTCCCAGCGGTCACGTGTATTCAGGCGTGAATCTGCTTTGTTTTGGTTAAGGAGGGGAGGGAGAAGGATTTGGAAAGAGCTGGTTGTGTCAAGCTTGTGTCAGGCCTGAGATCTCGGTTTTGTTTATCGCAAAACCCAGCAGAGAGGGGGTGAAGCTCTTCCTGCGCTTATCGGGGGGACGGGAAAGGGAAACCCTCCCGTGCCCAGCTCTGAGGCGAGGTGCTGCAGGAGCCAGCCCGTGGGGCCGCGGCGTCGAGCGAAGCGCTCGCACCCCCAGAGCCGTCGCTGCGGGTGAATCGACACCTCCCAGCTTCCTGTTGACGTCGGGCCAGCCGCGGGGACATCGGCACAAGCCAGTGAAATGCAGAAGTTGCGCAGGATGGTTGCGTTAGCGCCGAAACGAAACTAACCACAGGCCTGGCCTGCCTTCTGGCGCTCTGGTTTCTTGCCCTTGGTGTTGCCTCTGCGCCGCGCCCTCGCCTCCAGCCCTTCAGAGGGAAAGCAGTCGCCCTGTTGGAGTTCCCTGCTGGGAGCCCGGACGTTAGCGAGGGCCCGCTTTAGATCGGCCGCGTGCTTCAGATTCTCGTTACCTCGAGTTGTCCTTTCCCGGCCCGGCTTTAGAATAAGGTGGTGTCAGGCCTGTTTGCTCCTCGGTGAGCCTCTGGGGAGGGTAAAACCCATGGGGTAGGAATGTCATCCCTGGAAACTCACTACTTCGTTTTTCTACTCCCCACCCGCAGGGAAAATCCTCACGGATGACTTTGCCGACAAAGAGGGGCTAGAGATGGGCGACGAATATTTTGCAAACCTGGATCACATCGAGAGCGTGGAGAACTTCAAGGAGGGCTACGAGAGCGACGCAAAATGCTCTTCCGACAGCAGCGGGGTGGACATGAAGGATGAAGAGGAGGAGAACACAGGCACTGAGGAGCAGGAGGAGTCCAACGAGGACAGCTCCGACGACAACTTCTGCAAGGACGAGGACTTCAGCACCAGCTCGGTGTGGCGCAGCTATGCCACGCGACGGCAGACCCGGGGCCAGAAGGAGAACGGGCTCTCGGAGACGGCCTCCAAGGACTCGGGGCTCACCCGGCAAATCAGCCACGAGGAGACGGCGGCGGGCGCCCCCTGTAAGCTGCCGGTGTCGGAGGAGACCTCCAAGAACAAAGTGGCCTCGTGGCTGAGCTCCAACAGCATGTCCGACGGCTTCCAGGACAATGACAGCGCCTCCTCCTTCAAGATGAGCGAAGGCAGCGAAGCCAAGGCCGGCAAAGGGGAGCTCCCTGGGGAGAGAGAGAAAGCCTGTGCCTCTGCCCCGGGCGACCTGGACGGAGAGCCAAAGGCATCGAAGAAAGATGTAAGGGGGGGGGGCAGGGGGGGGGCTGTGGGGGCGGGAGATGAGTATTGCCCCCCACCTTGGGGCACGGGCGAGGAGACGGAGCCCCAGAGCTGCACCTCAGCTGCGCTCTTGCTCCAGAGGCTTCTCTACTCATCCAACACGACTGGGGGTGCTGGGGTGCTGCTCGGCGTCCCCTCGGCCTTTTCCTGCTGGGGGGGGGGGGCCGGGAGGGGTCTGTCCCCATCCTGGGGGAAGCTTTGGCCCGAGAGGCTACAAAGAAGTTGCCCAGCCAGCACCTGCCCGGGTACCCGGGCTGCTGGGGAGGGTGTTCAGCCGGGGCTGGGGACACCGGGGGGGTGGAGGTGGGCTCTGTCCACCCACCCAGGAGACCCACTGGGTGGGCTGCGGAGCCCGGGGAGACCCCTGGTCATAACTTGGACCTTGTGGAGCACCCCGGGACTGGGCGTCAGGCTGAGCGGTGGGGTGGGCCGGGCAGCGTGCCCGCAGAGGGGCTGAAGGGTCCTCCAGAAGGGAGAGAGTTTAATCTTCTGTACTTGTCCCCTCTGCAGGAAACTGAAGATGTAACCAAAATTCCTGGGTAAGGTTCCTCCCGTTGTATTTCCCTGCCTTTTTTTTTTTTATTTCCGAATACCGCCCTGAGCGAACTGCTGCAGCTCCAGGGCTGCCCCTTAACTCTTAAGGACGTCGCTGCCGGAGCAAACGGCGAGGTCGGGAGGGTTTGGGCCGCGCCCCAGCGTGCGCTGGCGATTTGTGGGCTTGGAGGGGGCAGGCTCGCCCCGCTGGCAGCTCCCCTGGCCCCGGCCGCTCTCCCGGCGCCTGCCAGCCTGACCCGCTCTTGTCCTCGCCCCCAGGCTCAGCGACTTGGGGCGGATGTACGGCTACAACCCCAGCCCTCCCAAGCTGGAGGGGATCCGCAGGCCCACGAGCAAGACCGCCCTGCTGCAGAGCCGACGGCATTCCCTGGCCCTGCAGCCCCCCACGGACGTAAGCGGTGACCCCCGGGCTGGGAGGGGGGGGCCGGGCTCTGCCTCGGCTCCACGCCGGTTTGCTGAAGACCTTGACCCTGACTTTGGGTTGTGCCGCTTTCGGTCCCCCCTTGAGCACCAGCGCAGGGCTGGTGGTTCGTAGTTGTGATTTCCTGGGGGAGGCAGTTGGTTTCCTTCAGACTTGGGGGGGGTCTTTCATGGTTCTGAAAGCCCCCAAAAAAGGACGGATGGGCCGCGTGTCCCAGCGGGTCACAAACCCAGCACACCAGCGACCCGTCGCTCGGCACAGCCGGCTCTCAGAAGCCATCCCAGGGGACGGTCTTTGTTTTTTGGGGTCTCCTCCCCGCCTTGCAAAACCCGGAGCACCTGATGGTGCAGGCTCGGGAGTCTCTGGCAGTCTGGGTGCTGCAGGAGTAACCACCCCCCCACCACCCCCCCCAAAACCCCACTGGCCTGCGAGCTGGGGCCTGTGTCCCCCTTCCAGCTCTGACCGCGGCAGCGTCCCGCTTCCGAAGGGTTTCCTAAAGCGCGGAGAGCCTCTGCCAAAAGGGCAAAATACTGCTGGGGGGAAAGGGCGAGCGGTGGAGCGATGCTGGGCCCCGGGCCGCGCTCAGCAGCTGGTGCTGCCTCTCCGCAGGACGTGCTGACGCTGTCGAGCAGCACGGACAGTGAGGGGGAGACCGGGCAGGCGGCGGCGGGGCAGGCCCAGGGCACCACCAACGACAGCGACGACATCCAGACCATTTCCTCGGGCTCCGAGGAGGAGGAAGGGGACGACAAGAAAAACCCCTCGTCTGGGTCAGGTGAGGACGGCTGCTGGGGGAGGAACAGGGGCCGTGAGCGGAAGGTCCAGGTGAGAAATTCTGGCCAGAAACCACTGGGAAGGGCTCCTGAGGACGGAGCAGCTGTGAGCAGGGTGGATCCTGCTCCAGGCGCTGCTGAGCGGGGCCTGAAGCCTCCCTAGGCGCTGTCTGAGAAACCCCGGCCCTCAAGTATTGAGTATTTGTGGATGGCTCCTAAAAAAAAAAAGGGCAAAACAGCTGTGGGGCTTACGGTGGTGGGTCTCCAGGCTCCACTGGGTGGTGGGGATTCCCAGGAGCCATCCCAGGGTGGCATTTTGGATCTGAGCTGCATCTCTAAGGGATTTATCACCCCTGTGGGAAGAGGAGAGGGTCTCGGGGCGGCAGCGCTGCTGTGGGGCTCCTCTTGGGGAAGGTGGAGAGAGACCAGGGCGGTGTTGGCTCCTCTCTTGGGGCAGGTCCTGTGAAGAGGCAGGTGGCGGTGAAATCCACCCGCGGCTTCGCCCTGAAATCCACTCACGGGATCGCCATCAAATCCACCAACCTGGCCGCGGCCGACAAGGGCGAGAGCGCGCCCGTGCGCCGGACCACCCGCCAGTTCTACGACGGAGAGGAGTCCTGTTACATCATCGACGCCAAGCTGGAGGGGAACCTGGGCCGGTACCTCAACGTGAGTCACCGGGAAGGGACGGATTTGGGGTGACCTGTCCCGCCAGTGGGCCCCGTCCTCCCCAGGGTGAGATAAATAGCAGTAAAAAAGGGGGAAAAGAGCCAGGACTGGGAGGGTGAGCCGCCCCAGCCCGGTGAAACGGGGCAGCTGCTCCGGCCCCGTGACACGGGCTGAGCGGGACGGTGGCGTCAGCCCTTCCAGCGCCCGGTGCCTTTGCGAGCGCGGGGGTCCGGGCGCGTCCCCGGTGGGGCGGGCGGGGGGAGGGAGCGCGTCCTGTTGCGGCGGGAGCGCTGCCGCTGCACGAAGGCCGGTGCTTGCCGCCGGCTGGTTGGCACCCCTCGCCCCGCGGGAGCTCGCTCACTGCCTTGGTCTCCGCTCCCTTCACAGCACAGCTGCAGTCCCAACCTCTTCGTGCAGAACGTTTTTGTGGACACGCACGACCTCCGCTTCCCCTGGGTCGCCTTCTTCGCCAGCAAGTGAGTCGCGGGGCGCTCGGGGAAGGGCCGGGGCTGCGTGACCCGTGCGGGCTGGGTGCCTCCTCCTCCCGGTCGCCACCGTCCCCCGTTTCACGCCAGCCCGAGCGGGGAGAAGCCCGGAGCTGAGCTGGGCGAGGAGCTCTCTTCCAGGCCGGAGCTTCTGGTGCGATTCGCAGCAGCTTTAGACCTTCCCAAAAGGGATTTAAGCGCGGAGCGGGCGGCTGCCCAGCTCCTTCGAGCCCCGAACCCCCGGGCGGCGGTGAATCCCTGCCGCCTGCCTCTCGGGCACCGCCAGCGCGGCCGCTCCTCCGTGAAGCCCCACGGGAGTGATTCAGCGGGGAACTTTGTCCCTTTGCTCGCCGCGCAGCCCGGGGCAGCGCCGCTGGCTGCTTCACCCTTGCCCCGGGGGAAGCTGGACCGCGCCGCCCCGGCCAGCGAGGTCGGACGTCGGCGGCGCTCTCTGCTAGCGAGGGGTCCAGCTCATCCTCCTGCTGGGAATGGCCTTTTCTCCCAGCCCGTGCAGGTTTTTTATTCTTCTTTTTTTTTTTTTTTTTTTAAAAAAAACCCAAAACTTCTCAGGAGGATACGAGCCGGCACAGAGCTGACGTGGGATTACAACTACGAAGTGGGCAGCGTGGAAGGCAAAGAGCTGCTGTGCTGCTGCGGGGCTGTCGAGTGCCGGGGGCGGCTGCTCTGAGCCCCTCGCCCCCAGGCCCGCGGCCGACTCGCCCCTTGTGAGGGTGAAGGTTCTTCTCGAGAGGTGGTTGTTTAAGAGTGACCGTTACGAAGCCGAGGACGGAGGCTTCGAGTTCTCCTGTTCACTTGAAAATTACAGCGGCAGACGGACGGGGAGCAGAACCGTGACCTGGACGGCTCGGGGGGGGGGGGGGGGGTGACCCCCAAACCTGGCGCTGAGCTTTGCTTCTACCCCATCCCCGGGGGGACGGTCCCTCCCCCGGTGCCGCGGGAAGGGCCGGTGGCCGAGCCCTCACCTGCCTGAGCTGGGGCCAAGCTGCAGTTCCTGCCCTGTGCCGGCTCGCCCGCCCTGACGGGTTTCCAGCAGAAAACGCTTCACCCAGGTTCCAGGGAACCGGGCGGGAGCGAGGGTGGAAATAAAGCTTGGTCCACTCTTAGAGCCACGATGGGAATTTAAGAGAAACAAAAGCAGTCTTCAACCGTGACATGTTGTAAAGAATCTTTTCATTGTTAAAAAGCAATAAAGTATGTTTTTCTATTTAAAAAAAAATTAAAAACTGCCCTGAACTTCAAACGCAGAAAAAAAAAAAAAAAAAAAAAAACAAAACAAACCTGAAAGAGCAGGATTTAACCACTTCCTTCATCCCTGTGTCCATGGGGCTCGCAGGAAAACTGCCCGAGGCAGCCGGGGCCAGCCAGGTTCATGGGCGCAGGGAGGACAACACGCTCCCCCCAGGCTTTTTCACCTTTCCTCCCTTCTGGCAAAACAAATACTCATGAAATCCTCCACTTCTTCAAACCGAGGAGCAGCTGGTTGCACTTGCCTTGCTCAGGAGCAGGGTTGATGCCCTCGCCACCCCCCACCCTCCGAGGACGGAGGCTCAGGGGACAGAGTCTGGCCTAAGCTACTGCCCTCAATTTGCAGTTGAGGCAGCCTTGAACTTGACTCAGTTGCACCAAATTTGCTTCGGGCACCTGGGGCTGGGGGGGGGGAAGGGCCGGGTGGGTGCAGGCAGCGGGGGGGGGGGGGGGAGGAGGAGCAGCTGCCTGGCCTGGCAGCTCCACAAGGAAAACTCCTTTTTTTATTTTTTTTTTTTTTTTTCTTTTTTCTCCCCTGGCAGCAATTCACAATTTCAAGTGTTGGGGTTTGGCTTTTCTCGGTTCTGGGCAGGGCTCGTACCTGCCCATCCGAAGGGTTCAGTCAACCTCTGTGAACACGGGCCTGGAGGCCGATTTTCACAAACTGGAACCCGATCTCGAAGCACAAAGCCCCGGGCGGGGCGGGGGGAGGAAGAGCCGCAGCAGCAAAAACCGGGTTCCAGCCGCCACCCCCAGCTCTCGGGCACCCGAACCACGAGCAGCCCCTGCGACTCTCACACAAGGGAGGCTTTTTTTTCCACGCTAAATCTTTTTTTTTTTTTTTTTCTTCTTAAAAACCTTTCCAGGGCCTCCGCGAGCTCCAGTTCCATCCTTAGCGTCCACCTGAATAGCGGCTTTGTCATCCTGGTGGGGCGAGGAGGGCGGCTGAAGCCCACACTCCCGGCTGGTTGTGAAGACATGGGAGAGCTTTCGGGGGGGGGGGGGGGAGGAAAAAAAAAAAAAAAAAAAAAGTAAAAATATCCAAACACTCAAATCTGGCCACTTTTAGCAGTGCCTAAACGAAAGCTAAAGGGGGCTGTGCTGAGCTGACCACCCCCAGACCCCCGCAGGGGCCAGGGCCACTGTGCCAGCCACAGAAGATGCCCAAGCCCTTTATTTTTTTATACCGAAGTTTATTAGTTTTTAACTTTTAATATATTTAACCTTTTATTTTTTTTTTTTTTTTTTTTTAAAAAACAGAAACAACAGAACACATTTTGGTCTGACGTTGGTTAATGGTCCTTCTCCCCCCACCCCTCCGCACTGGGAGGTCTCGCTGCATCCTGGGTGGATGCGGGAGACAGAGCCAAGCCCGGCTCCTCCTGTCTTCCAAATAAATAGAAACAAAACAAAACAAAAAATCAGTTGCAAATTTGTCCTGTTACAGCTGGGGAAGGGACCAGGAGAGGCCACGGAGAGGGAGAGACTCGAAACTCATTTACAGAAAAGAAATGAGGGGATTAAACTCCTCCGTGAGACGCTGGTAGTGACTAAACCCCGCAGCTTCCTTCCCCGAGTGCTTCCGCAGTGTCGTCTCAGCGTTCAGCCACCACAACACCCCAACTTCACCCGCTCCCCCCTCCGAGCCCCCCGAGGGTGACGGAGCAGCGGCTGCGCCGGCGTTTCCACCGCTCCCCGGTGCCGGCAGCGACGCCGGGCCCGGGTCAGGGCTCTGCTTTTCCCCCAGTGTTGGAAGAGGCAGCAGCGGGACGCGCTCCCCTCCGGCAAGGGGACGGTCGGGAAAGGGGGAACAACGCGGGGCTGGAGCCCGGCGAGGGGCTGGAGCCCACCCGAGGGGGCTGCGGGAAGGGGAGGGGGAAGGAGCCCTCCTCCTCCTGCCTGTCCCGGGGCACCGCGGTGGATTAAGGCAGCGGGTGAAAGGCAGAAAGGGCACCAACGGTGAGCGTGAGGGGGAGGAACAGCGACCGGTGCCGCGGCCCCGCGCCGGGGGGAGGCGGCCGAGGGGGGCTGGGGGCTGAGAGGGGCTCTCCGGGGTCCCGGTTTGATCTGCTGGACCAGGGAGGGGGGAAGGTGACGAGGGGACGGGGACCTTGGCGCTACGGGAGGGTGGCAGCGGTGGGATTTGACATCTCACGGGTTTGGCCTCCGGCGGGGCCCCCGGCCGCCCCCGCCAGCGCAGAGCCGGGCCGAGGGCGCTCACTCGGTTTTGCGGTGGTTGTTGTTGAGGACGGGGTGGCCGTTGGAGAGGGGCCCGTTCTTCGCCGCCTCCTCCTCCTCCTCCGAGTTGTCCGTCTCTTCACGGTCGCTCCTCTCGTCCTCCACCACCTGGGGGGGGGGGGGGGGGGGCGGAGAGAAAGGGAAAGGGGGAGCTCAGTCAGCAGCGCCCTGTTGTCCTGCTGGCACCCAGCGTCCCCCACCCCAACCACCGCGGTGTCTCCTCACCAAGGGAGTCCGGGACTCGGGAAGCCGAGCGCAGTTCGGCTCCACGGGCTGGGGGTCTCCCCTCACACCCCGCCCCCTCCATCCTTCCCGGGTCCGGATGGAGCCCCTTCCCCCCCCGCCCCACGGGGCTGGGACCCTCGAGCCCTCCCCAGGCCCCCTCTTGCCTTTCCAGTTATGAACTTCTGGGCCATGCGGATGATGAGGTAGGCCCAGAAGATGTGCAGCGACTGCAGCACCACCATCATGAAGTTGAAGAAGTAGTAGCCGAAGAACGCCGGGTAGAGATCCAGCGGATAAACCACCGTGCAGTGCATGATCCTGCCGGGAGAAAGAGCTCGGTTACGGGCAGGGAGCAGCGTCCCACCCCCAGTGGGTCTCCCTGCCCCGTGCCTCAGTTTCCCCACCCCGTCACCGGCCGCCAGCGCTCACCAAAAGGGCAGGATGACCAGGCGGGTGACGATGAAGACGGCGGCGAAGACGATGAAGATGTTGTTACAGGTGTTTCTCCAGCCGGCGTAGTTGAACATCTTGGCGGACTGTGGGGGCAGAGGGGGGGGGTGAAGTCGGGGAGGGGACACAGGGCGTGGCCGCGTGGAGGGGGCCGGGGGGGGACACACGCACCTCCAGCAGATAATCCGACGAGTCGTGCAGGGCCATGATGAGCGTCCCCGCACGGATGTAGTTGGCGAACCAGGAGAAGCTGATGAGGATGATGGTGGCGACGTGGTGGATGATTTGCTCTTTGAAGTCCTGCGCCCGGGGAAAGGGGCAGCCGGGGGGTTACAGCAGCCTGGCTCTAACCCCCAGCACCCCGCTGGCCCTCTCGCCTCCGAGATCCCCCTCATAGCCCCAAATCCTCCCCCGTGGCCCCAGATCCACCCTCGTGGCCCCAGATCCCCCCCCGTGGCCCCAGATCCCCCCCCCGTGGTCCCAGATCCCCCCCCTGTGGTCCCAGATCCACCCCCGTGGCCCCAGATCCACCCTCCCGTGGCCCCAGATCCCCCCCCCGTGGCCCCAGATCCCCCCCCCGTGGCCCCAGATCCCCCCCCCATGGCCCCAGATCCCCCCCCCGTGGCCCCAGATCCGCCCCCCGCCATGGCCCCAGATCCCCCCCAGCCCGCTGCCCACCACGAGGGCAGAGGAAACCCTGCCAAGACGTCCCTGCCTCTGCCACCCCCGTCCCACCGTCGCAGCCCACCTTGCGCTTGACGTCGGAGGCGATGCTGAAGAGCAGGGACCAGTAGAAGGAGAGCTCGATCATGTAGTACCAGTACTGGGAGGGCAGCATGCTCTGAAAGCCAACGGACAGGCTGGGGGGGATCCTCCATGCGCCCCAGGGGGAGGTTGATCCCTTTCCGCGGGCGCCAGCCGGACCCACGGGTGTCCCGGGGAGCCTTCTGCCCCCCACGGCACCCAAAGCCCCTCTCCGTGCGTCAGCTGAACCCACGCGGGTGCCAGAGACCCTCCCGCGCCCCCGGGGTCCCCGGTTCCCATCTCCCATCGCCCAGGCAGCTCCCGGGGGGCAGGAAGGGCCGTGGAACGGCGGCTGGGAGGGGGTCGGGCGCTCACCTGGATGGGGTATCCCTTCCACACCTCCCGGAGGTCGTAGAACCAGGGTTTCTGCGGGATGCGGGGAGGAGAGAGAGGCAGAGTGGTGTTAGAGGGGGCCGGGGGGGCCGGGTAGGCGCTGGGGGGGGACACGCAATACTTACATCCACTATGACAGCCATGCCAGCAATGAAAGCAATAAGGTAAAACGTGAATCGCCAACTGGAAAAAGGAAGCAGATGGTCCTCAGACGCGCACCGGGGCGAGGGAGGGAGAAGGATGGACCCGCCAGCCCCACGTTCCGCCCGCCCAGCGGGTGCCCCCGAGCCCCCCCACGACCGAGGGGAGGTGGCCCGCAGGGTGACGGTGACGCCGGGTTCTCACCTGGCCTCCCTGAACTTCTTGAGCAGGCTGGGCCGGTCTTGGTTGCGGCGGCGGCGAAACCAGCGCTCCACCTGCCGCACCGTGCAGCCGCTCTTCTTCGAGAGCATCTCCACGTCGGCCTGGGGGGACAGCGGGGACGTCACCGCCCGTCCCGCCCCCCCACACCCCAAGCCACGCCGAGCCCCTTTTGGGGACCCCCCCCCATCCCCTCACCTGCTTGGGGTGTTTGGTGGTGGCAGCGTAAAACTTCTCCAGCACGGCGTTGGGGGTGGCTTTTAACCTGATCTTCTCCTTGACGTTCAGCAGCCCGGCCAGGGGGGTGGCCACGTACCTGGGGAAGGAGTCGGGGGGGGGGGGGTGGGACGGACGGACGGACACGCACACATAAACCATCTCTATTTCTGTGTCACCCGGCTGATGTGGCCCCAAAGCCACCCAGGGACCCACAGCCACCCCGTGCCTCAGTTTCCCCATCCCGCTGCTGCTTCTCCAAGGTGGGTTTGACCACAGGGGAATCCCCCCCGGGTCCCTCTGTCACGGCGGGGTTGGGGGGCCGCCCCCCTTCTCCCATCATCCCAACAAAGCCCCGTCTGTTCCCGGCCTCGGCTCGCCATTGTTTGCCCAACAAATCGCTCCTTAACCGCCGGGGCCCGCGGCCCGACCGCGCCGCGATAAGGGCGGCGGAGGATGCACAAAGCCGGGTTTGTGCGGGGGCAGATCCCCGACCCAAAATGTGGTCTGGGGGGGGGAGGGGACAGGGGCTGGACCCCCACCCCGGGGTGCCCCGGCCAGGCCGAGGGCAGGGCGAGGCGTCCGAGGGTTTGTCCCCAGCCCCGGGTGTGGGGAGACCTGGATAGCTGGGGGGGGGGTGGGTGGGGGTGTGTCCCCCCACCCCAGGGAAGGGACTCACGTCTCAAAGAGGTGCCGGACGACGAGGAAGAGGAAGGCCAAGGGGAGGGTGATGTAGAGGTCGGAGGCTTTGGCGTAGACTCGCCCATCCCGGTCCTCCAGGTCGGCCCAGGTGAGGTTCGCCGGGAGCCAGAGCCGTTCCCACCAAAAATAGCTGTACAGGGTCTGAAACATGCTGGGGGGGGGGGGGGGGGGGGGGAGGAAAAGAGCGAGGAGGTGAGGAAGGGGCCGCGGCCCGCCGGGAACTGGGGGTCCCCGCTCGCGTCTGCAACGCCCCAGCGAGCCCCCCCGGGGTGGCAAAATCCCCCCCCCCTCACGGGGCGGCCGGGCGCTCGGCTCCGGCACAGAGGGACTTTGCTCCCTGCGGCGGGGGAGGTCGGCGGGTGATGATTAACCGGGGCCGGCTCGCGCGTCCCACCGGCGGGACGGCACCCTGGCACCGGGCACCCGCTCCCCGGGACCCCCCCCCACCCCACCCCGGGCACCAGCACAGCCCCGGGGTGACGAGGAGGGGGGAAGCCCCCCAACACGGGGTTTTTTCTGCCCAGCCGGGAGTCGATCCTGGGTGCGCAGCCCAAGGCTGAGGCGGGGTGGGGAAACTGAGGCACGGAGCCCACCCCCGCCCCCGGGCCGGGCGGGCGGCCCCGCGGCGCAGGATTTAGGGATTTGCCGGCGGCACAATAACCCCCTTTGTGCCTTAAAAAGGCTCCCGGCGGGCGCGGGGAGGGGGGGGGGGGGGGGGGGAAGCCCAGCGCTGGCACCGGGCGTGGGGTCGGCGCATCCCGGCTCTTCCTCCCCCTCCTCACCGGCACTGGGCACAAACTGGTTTCTCCCCACTTTGGGGAGCTGGGCTGGGGGTCTTGGGGGGGACGACGGGGACCCCCCACCCCCGGGAGGGAAATCCCCGGCGTGGAGGAACCAGCTTCGCTCCGGGAACTGGGGGGAGAGGAGTGGCCGGGGCTGGGTTCTCAAGGCGAGGGGGGAGCGTGGCCCAGTTCCCACTGGGACGGGATGAAACGGGACAGGACGGGCTGGAACGGGACAAAATGGGCCGGAATGGGAAGAAACGGGCCGGAACGGGCCGGACTGGGGTGGAACGGGCCGGACTGGGCCGGCGGTGCCGCGGGCAGGTAACGGGCAGGGCGGCAGCCGGGGCGTGGGAGGACTCGGGGTGAGGCCCCGGTCAGGGCCGGCGGCATCTCCCTCCCCCCGGGAAAAGGGGGCTCGGGGGGGGGGGAGAGGAGCCAGGACCGGGGGGGGCGGGGAGGGGGGAGGGAAGGCACCGACAGCCGGGCTCCCCCCCCCCCCCCCCCCCCGAGGTGATTTTAGGAGCGATCCTGCGGGGAAGGGAGAAAACGCTGAAATTTTGTAGGTCACCGAGAAGAAAAAACCAGGAGCGGGAGCGTCGCTGGGCACCGGATGGCGGGCGGGCCCGGGGGGGCGGCGGGGGCGCGGTTGGGGGGTACCGGTCGCCCCGGGGGGGGGCCCGGACCCCGGGGCCTCGCTGCGGGCCGAGGGGGCACCGTCTCCGCCCGGGGCCGGCCCCGCCCGGCCGGGGGAACCGGGGGGGGGGGGCCCCGGTGGGGCCTGGCGGGGGGGGGGGCGGGGGGGCCGCCGGGCCTGGGCCCGCCGCAGCGGGGAGGCCCCGAGGCTTGAGGCGGGGGGGAGGGAGGGGAACGGGGAACCGGACACGGAACGGACACGACCCCCCCCCTCCCCCCCCGCCCCACTCACGCGCCGCCGCCGCCCGGAGCCGCCGCCGCCGCCTCGCGCTGCCGCCGCCCCCCCCCCCACCCCCCCCTCTCCGCGCGCGCGCCCCGCGCCAGGCAGCGGGCGGGAGTGACGTCACCGCCAACACCGAGGGCCCGGAGGGGAGCGGGGCGGGGCGGGGCGCCAGGCGTGAGCAATCCATCCCCGGGGCGGGGATCGGACGGACGGACGGACGGACGGACGGGTCTCGGGCGCCGCCTACGTGCCCCCTGTACGTGCGCCCAGGACGCCCCGTGCTTCACCCCTATAGCCCCCTATACACCCCACACACGCACACCCACGGACACGCTCCGTGCTCACCCCTATAGACCCCACACACACACCCACGGGCACGCTCCGTGCTCACCCCTATAGACCCCACACACACACCCACGGACACGCTCCGTGCTCACCCCTATAGACCCCACACACGCACACCCACGGGCACGCTCCGTGCTCACCCCTATAGACCCCCCACGCACACCCACGGGCACGCTCCGTGCTCACCCCTATAGACCCCACACACACACCCACGGGCACGCTCCGTGCTCACCCCTATAGACCCCCCACGCACACCCACGGGCACGCTCCGTGCTCACCCCTATAGACCCCACACACACACCCACGGGCACGCTCCGTGCTCACCCCTATAGATCCCTATAGACCCCACACACACACCCACGGGCACGCTCCGTGCTCACCCCTATAAACGCCCCACACACACGCACGGACATGCTCCGTGCTCACCCCTATAGACCCCACACCCACGGGCACGCCCCGTGCTCACCCCTATAGACGCCCCACACACACCCACGGACATGCTCCGTGCTCACCCCTATAGACCCCACACCCACGGAAACGCCCCGTGCTCACCCCCTACGCCCCCTGTACGTACCCCACACATCCCCCATTACCCCCGCCCCCCCCCGTGCCCCCCACCTTTCCTGCCCTATACGCCCCCCGGGCACACCCTGCCCTCGCCCCTGCACCCCCCCTATACACTCTATACATCCCCTATAGACCCCACTCACCCCCGTACACGCCCCCCACCCGCGGGCGGCGGTCCCGAGGCACAGCGCCCCCTGCCGGTCGCGCCGCCGCACCCCGCGGGGGGCCCCGAACCCGCGTGTCCGTCACACCAAAACCCCCCGGACCCGCCTGTGCGTGGGGAGTGGAGGGTCCCGTCACCCAGAACCCCCCCAAATCCCCCTCTAACCCCGTCAAACCCGCGTGTCCGTGGAGGCTCCCATCACCCCAAAACCTACCCAAATTCCCCTCTAACCCCCCCAAACTTGCACGTCCAGGGGGTGCAGAGGGTCCCGTCACCCCAAACCCCCCCAAATCCCCCTCAAGCCCCCCTGAACGCACGTGTCCGTGGGCGTGGAGGCTCCCATCACACCAAAATCCCCCCAAATGCTCCTCTAACCCTGCAAACCCGTGTGTCTGTGGAGGCTCCCATCACCCCAAAACCACCCCAACCCCCCTCAAGACCCCCCAGCCCCACGTGTCTGTGGGGTATGGAGGATCCCATCACCCCAAAGCCCCCCAAACTCGTGTGTCCGTGGAGGGGGGGCAGAGGTCCCCACTGGTGTCAAACGGCCAGACCCGCGCACGTGAGGACAAGTCCTTTATTTGCCAAGGGCTAAGGCCACATTTCGGACACGGGGTGCATGTCCCCCCCGCCAGACGCGTGTCCCCCCACGTCTCAGAGCAGGGACCAAGGGGTGGGACCCCCCCCCCCGGGTGGGGGGGCCCCCTCATATTAAGGCCACTGGAAAGATTTGGGTGGTCCCGGTGACAGGTAATTCTCTGTGTGTCCCCACTCCTGTCCCCAGGGACCCCCGGGGGATCTCCCCGGAGAGATGCGAGCGGGGACTCGGGGGGCCCCGGGCACCCCCCACATGCCCCAGCCTGGCTGGGAGCTGCAGGGGGGGCCAGGGGGGTGTGGGGGCCCCCACGGGGGGCCGGGCTAGAGGAGGGTGCAGTCCAAGTCCGGCTTCTGCCGCTGCCTCCGCTCTCCGGCCGGCGGCCGCGCGCGGCCCTGCGGGCACGAGGAGGGGGCTGGGGACACCCCGCAGAGACCCCCCCACAATGCGGGGGGGGGGGACACTGCCGCCCCCCCCCAGCCCTCCCTCCCGGGAGTGGGTGGTGGGGCAGGGCGGGGGGGGGGGGCGGTTAGGGGGTGACAAGCACCCGCACCCCACGCTGCAGGCCCGAGAGGGTGCAGCCGGTTACCTGCGCTGGCACCGGCCGCTGCTGCTGCTGCTGCTGCTGCTGTTGATGATGATGATGATGATGATGATACTCCTCCTGCTGCAGCTGGCGAGCGAGCTCCAGGTCACTCAGTGCGGAGGGGTCGTGTCCCTGCTGCTGCTGCAGTGACAGGGCGATCATATAATCCTGGGGGGGGGGAAGAAAGAGAGAGGGGGGGTCAGCACAGCAGCCCCAAACCCCACAGCATCCCCTGGAGCTGGGCCGGGACTCAGGTGTCCTCTCGCTGCCACCGGTTGTCCCCTACCTGGTCCACTTGTCTCTGCTGGAGCCGGTGATCCGGGGGGGCTGTGGCGGCCCCCTCCTTGCCCGGAGCGTGGCTGAGATGAAAATCGGTGTCGCAGAAGCAGCTGTCCCCATCCACGTTGTGGAGGCTCTCCCAGACCACCCTCTCCTCCTGCAGGAAGCCCTGGTCTGTCACCAGCAGGTAGAGGTGGCCCTGGGGAGAGGGGACAGGGGACAGTCAGCCCCCCCCCAGTGCGGGGGGGGGGGTGTCAGCCAGCTGGAAGGCAGCCGGGGAAGGGGCTGGAGCGGCACCTTGTGCTTTATCATGGTGCTGAAGTGGTTGTTGCGGAAGAAGACGCTGAGCTCGCCCTCCCTGACGGCGGCCGTGAGCTCGCACAGCCCGTGGTAGGTCAACTGGGAGGCCGTGGACTCCAGGAACTGCTCCGCCACCAGCCCTGGGGTGAGAGTGGGGTGGGAGTGGGGCCGGGGCGTCGAGACCCCCCCACACACCCCCCCGGGGAGTGGGGGGCCGTTACCTTCGCTCACCAGGCTGGAGTCGCTGGCCTGTTTGCAGGTGATGATCTTCTCCACCAGTTGGTTGTAGCTGAGCTTGCCCACGGCTCGCACCACCTCGGGGCTCTGTGGGGAGGGGAAGGGCCGGGGGGGTGAGCACCGGCTCGGCGGGGACCTGCCCTCCCTCCCTCCCTCCCTCCCGCCCGCAGCGGCCCAGGGCAAGGGCAGGACGCTTCACTTGGGACCTTCCCCAACCACCTCCGCCACGGGGACGTCCAAGAGGCTTCCACCGTGGGGAAGGAGCCGTCATGGGAGGGGTTGGGTCGGAAAGGGACCTTCGAAGACCGTCTAGACCCGCCTTCCCCCAGCCCAGGGGGCTCCCAGCCCCGTCCAACCTGGCCTTGAACCCCTGATGGGGCAGCCACAGCTTCTCTGGGCACCCTGGGCCAGCGCCTCACCAGCCCCCCGGATCATTCCCTTGCGTCCCTGGACCCACGCAAGCCACCGGCCAGGACAGCCGTGGGGCCAGCTCACCTGGGGGTCCACCAGCCAGCCGTGGTAGAGCGGGACGTTGAGGAGGTCGAAGACGATGCACTCGGGCGTGTACTCGAAGTCCGAGACACCCGTGAACCGCACGTTGACGTCCAGCCCCGTGGAGAGCTTGGGGAGGACCATCATGGTGTCGTTGATGTTCTGGGTGGGGAAGAAACAAGGTGGGGCCTGACTGGGGAGTGGGCTGGCACCCCAAATCTTGCAACCTAAGGCCACCGGTGCTCCCTGAGATGGGACGGGGGGGTCAATTTTTGGGCTGGGTGACAGGCGGCCTCGCTCCTCACCTGCTGGAAGTTGAGCTGCAGCCCCTCTGACGGCTCCCGGGGTTGGGTGGACAAGATGCAATCCCCTGCGAGGCAGCGCGGTCAGCCCCCAGCGAGCCCACGCCCCGCGGCACGCCGCCCTCCCGGCAGTGGGGTGGGGGGCTGACGGGGGCCCCGGGGACCTCACCCAAATGTGCCATCAGCTCCTCGGATGTGATCACCTCCTTCTGCGGGGGCAGCTTCACCTGGAAGCACCGAGAGGCTGGGGACCAGCCCCCGGCTCCTTCCCCTTGCCATGTGGGGGGAGCCGAGCCCGATCCCCCCCTCACCAGCCCCCCCAAATCCCTCCCCCCAGCACCCTGCTTGCCTTCCACTGCAAGAAGAGGATGTTCATGATGGCCAGGAGTGGGCAGGGTCCGTTCTCGCTCTGCGTGATGACGGGCGTCCGCTCGCCTTTCCAGCTGATCCACTTCACGCAATAAAAATCCGCCTCCGCTTCCCGAGTGGGGGTCCGGGCTCGGGGGGGCTCAGCCGGTAACCCCACCGCCCCGGCACCCAGGCTGGGCAGGGGGGCACCCAGCGGGGACCCCCTGCTTTCCTGGGGCTGTTTCTCCCCAGCATCTTCCCTGGGATGCTCATCGGAGGGGAGGTGCAGGGCGCAGCCCGGCTGCCCCACGCCAGGGCTGGGAGCCACGTCCTCCTCTGCGCCGCGTGGCTCGGCCGGTGCCGGGCTCTCCCGGCCACCAGCCGGCATTTCATCCCCACCGACGGCCTCCTCCGGGACCTGGCGGGTCCCTTCGGCGCTGGAGGGGGCCGGGACCGTCCCTCCTTGCTTGGGCGGCTGCTCCATTGAGACCCTCACCGTGGCGTCCTGCCTCAGGCGGGTCCGGATCAGGCCCCTGGGGACGCTCCGGGTCCGTCCAGGAACAGCCGCATCCCAAACCTCTCCCTCAGAAGGTAAAACTTGGGTATTTCAAGAAAAAACACATATATTAGTCCAATATATTTACCAGGTATGGCTTGTTTAGCTTAGATTTTTTTTCTCCCCCATTCCTTTACATTCATTTAAATAATGAAAAATAAAACGTTGGCCGCGCACGCTTCTAAATCACCGTTAAAAAACTTAATGCCATGGATACGTGTGGATTTTATCTGCCTCCCGTTTGCACAGAAAGAGGGAAAAAACCCCCAAACCAACCTAGGAGGAATTGAGTTTGATGGAGCCAAAGCAGCGTCAGGGAGAGGTCAGTCCTGTGTTTTCCTGCAAACTCGGCCCGGCAAAGATGCTCCTGCAAAGAGATTTGGAAATCTGGCTTTGGAGTACTCAAGAGAATTGAGAAGTTTGGCTTTGAAACACTCAAGAGATTTGGAAAATTTGCCTTTGAAATAGTCAGGCAAATGGGTAAATTTGGCTTTGAAACCCTCTGCGCAGGCAGGAGCGCGGCCGCTCCGCCCTGTCCCCCCGGTGCCCCCCGGGACGTCTCACCCCCAAAGCCCCCGGGGACCCCGGCGTTCCCTGCTCGGAGAGGGGTGATGGCAACAATGGCGATAAGCAGCGATGAAAACGCCTGGGGAGGGTGGAAACTGGGGGAAAAAGGGAGTTTTTTGGGCAGGTGGTGAAAGCCTGGGAGAAAATCAAGGGGGTTGGTGCCCTCTGAGCCATTCTCGTCTCTTTTAGAGCCAGAGCAGAAGGGTCTTGGGGGAAAGAAAAGGAAGGGGATGGTGGCCAATGCTCAACATCTGTTTATTTATTATTAATAATTAATATTAATTTTAATATAAAGTAATAAAGTGCAGCAAAAACAGAGAAATAAATAAGTAAATAAATATTCTCGATAAATAAATAGACATATAGGTAAATAAATAGTTATATAGATAAATAAATAGTAAGCAAACAAATATTCTTGATAGGTAGATAAGTGGATAGATAAATCAATATTCTTAATAAATCCCTAAATAAGTAATCTCTGTAAATAAAGGGCATAGAAAGAAATAAACAAACGTTCTCGATAGATGAATAGATGTGTAGGTAAGGAAAGAAATACGAAGTATTACTAACTAAAACAAATAATAAATATTTTTGATAGATAAGTAGGTGGGCAAGCAGTCTTAAAACCTGAGTTTGTACCTAAGTGTTCTGAATGCATAAAAAATAAATCAAATCAGATGAAATCTCTTCAGCAGCAGGACTGCCCAGCGGCCGGCGGTGTGCCTGCGGAGGGGCGGGCGCTGCCCCCCCGCCCGGGGCCGGACCCGCCGCACCGGTCGCGCCCGCCGAGACGCCGGGAGCCGGAAAAACCGGCCGGGGGCGGCAGCTCCGGCGCTGGGCAGCGGGCACCGGGCTGGGCCGGGGCCGGGGGGGGGCGCCGGGGGCCGCCCTGCCTCAGTTTCCCCAGCCGGCAGCGGGGGCGGCCGCAGCATCCTGGGGCGACCACCCCAGGCACCCCCAGCCCACCCCAACATCCCACCTCACCCCAACCCGCCGCGGGGCAGGGGGGCACCCCCAAAGCCCCCGCCCCGCTCTTACTTTGCAGCCGTTTCGCTGCTGTCGTTTCTCCACTCCTTCCTTCTTTTCCTCCTTTTTCCTCCTTCTTTCTTCTTTTGCCTTCTTTTTTCTCCCTTTTCCTTTTTTTCCTTCTTTATTCCTTCTTTTCCCCTCCTTTTTTTCTTATTTATTTTTCCTTCTTTCGGCTTTTTCCTCCTTTTTCCCTCTTTATTCTCCCTTTTTTCCTTCTTTATCTTCCTTTCCCCTTCTTTTATCCTCCCTTTTCCTCCTTTCCTCCTCCTTTTTCCCTTCTTTTTTCCTCGCTATGCCTCCTTGTTACTCCTCTGAGTTTCCTCCTTCCCCCCCCTTTTCTCCTCCTTTTTCCCTAATTTTTTTTCCTCCTTATGCCCCCTGTTCACCCCTCTCCGTCCCTTTTTTGCTGCTTTTCCCCCGCCGTCCCCGCGGCAGGCCGGGGCCTGCTCCCCGCCGCCAGCCCACGCTCGGGCTCTGCGGGGAAGGCGGATTCACGGCGGAGGAGTAGGAGGAGGAGGAGGAGGAGGAGGAGGAGGAGGAGGAGGAGGAGGGGCAGGCGGGGTGGAGAGTGAAGGCAGCGGCCGCGCCGCGCTGGCGGTTCCCTCCGCCCGCACCCGAAATCAACCGATTTTCCGGTTTCTTCCCCCGTTTCGAGGCCCGGTGCTGGGCCGCAGTGGAGGGGGGGGGGGGGGGGCGGTGGGTGCCCCCCGATTTCAGCCGCCGGCGGGTCTGGGGCTCAGGCCACAGCCACAAGGCGGGGGGGGGGGGGGTCAACCCCTCACCGGTTACTGGTCACCAGTAACTAGTTACTGGTTGGGATGGGGGGACGCCATCCTGCGGTGTAATAAAGCCGGGGGGGGGGGCACGGCCTGTCTGGAGGGTTCCGGGGGGGCCGGGCCGGGCCGGTGGGGGGGTGGCTGGGGGATTTAGGGGTGCCAGGGGGGTGTGGGGAGGGTTGGGGAGGTTGAGGACCCAAGGAGGGTTTGGAGAGGTTGGGGTGTCAGGGGGGGTAGGGGGGGTTTGGGGGGGTCGGCAGGGGGTTAAAGGAGGTCGTGGGGGGGTGGGAGTGTCGGGGGGGGTTGGGGTGCAAATAGGGTTGGGGGGTGTTAGGGGGATTTGGGGTGTCAAAAGAGTTTCAGGTGCCGCGGGGGGGGGGTGAAGGGGTGTCAGGAGGGTTTGGGGGTGTCGGGGGGGGCGGTGTCACCCCCCACCATCACCCACCGCCCCCCCCTCCTCAGCCCCGCCCGCGCGGGCTGCCGGGAAGGGGGCGGGGGCAGAGCGGGGGAGGACACGCCCCTTGTTAGCCACGCCCTCCCCCTTCCCGACAGCCCGCGCGGGAGGTCACGCCCCGATGCTGAGGAGGGGCGGGGGGGTGGGGTGGGGGCTGCTGGGCCGTGCCGGGCGGTACCGGGCCGTACCGGGCCGTACGGGGCCGTGCCGGGCGGTACCGGGCCGTACCGGGCCGTACGGGGCCGTGCCGGGCCGTACGGGGCCGTGCCGGGCGGTACGGGGCCGGGCGGGGCCGGGCGGGTTGGGGCGCGGATCGCCGCCGCTATGGAGCGGTTCGTGGAGGGGAACCGGGCGGCTCTGCAGGTAGCGGTGCCGGGGGGCGAGGGGGGCACTGGGCGCTCAGGGAGGGGGTTGCAGGGGGCTCAGGGTGCCCCAGAGATGAGGGTGCAGGGAGGACTGCAGGCTGGGTGTCCAGGGGTTTGGGGTGCCCAGGAAAACAGGGTGCAGCTGGGTACCCGGTGGAGCAGGGTGCATGGAGACTGGGGTGCGGAGGGTTTGGGGTGCATGGGTGCCCAGGGGAGTGGGGTGCAGGGGGGAGCAGGGTGCACGGGGGGCTTGGGGTGCACGGGGTCTGGGTGCCCAGGAGAGCAGGGTACAGGGGGGAAAGGGGGTGCCCAGGGGAAGTGGGGTGCCTGAGGACTGGGGTGCACAGAGGATCAAGGCCCCCGAGCGGGGTGTCCCCGTCCCCCCTGGAGCGGGGCCGGTTCTGTGCTGCCCCTCGGCCCCACGACAGCCCAGGCTGGGGTGCCACCGCTGCACCAGGGACACCCCCAAACCGCTTCCACGGCCAGGGGCTCCCCAGCACCCCCCCTAGCCCTGCAGCCTCTTCCCCCGGCTCGCAGCACAGGGGTGCAGGTCCCCAACCCATGGCGGGGTTCATGCCGCCGCCGGCGCTCGGTTGTTTACTTCCTCGGCTGGTACCGAATAAATGAGCGAATCTGGGTTACGGCATGAAATAATTGTCACCAAAAAAGGGCCTGGAGACACGGCGGCTCCCTCGAGCGGAACGGGACGGGCGCCAGCAGCGGGGGACGGGGGACCGCTGGGGTGACATGGGTGACATTTTTTTCTTGTTACCGCGGGGAAGGAAAAAAGGGGTGAAATGTAGCGGGTTTTGGGGGTAGTCAGCCCCAAACTGCCTCTGTGGGCGCTTTGATCTGGGGTTTAAATGCCAAAAGCTCCCGGGGCCATGACGGCGTCCCCCAGGGCAGGGAGGTCCCTGTCCCCACTGCCGGGGTCACTCGTGGACGAGCTGGGTTTTTTCCTTTGCTCCCCGGGGCCCCAGTGTGCCTGTTTTCGTGCATGTGCCCCCAAAACGTGAGGCTTTTATGCCAGAAATGGATCCCGACCAGGTCTCGTCCCGAGGGCGCCGGCCCAGTCGGTGTTTCGGGGATGCCAGGAGTCCGTCCGCTGCCGGTGGCGGCTGGGAGACGGGTGACATCCACGACAAGTGGCTCCGGGGACACTGGCGTGTCCCCCTCAAGGGCAGGGAAGGGGAAGGGACTGGCTTGGGGGTCTTTGGGGGACAGGGACACGTCGCTGCCATGCCTGATGCCTCCTGCCCCGGCAGGAGCACGTCCGGCGTCACCGGGAGATCCACGTGGTGATGGGCAACGAGGCCTGTGACCTGGACTCCACCGTCTCGGCCCTGGCCCTGGCGTATTTCCTGGCGAAGGTGAGGCTCGCCCGCTGGCTCGGGGACAAATGGTGGCTTGGGGGGACGCCTCGCCGGGTGTCACACCCCCCCCACCCCGCCCCGCCGCAGACCTCCCCGGCTCCCCAAGCCGCCTTCATCCCGGTGCTGAACATCCCTCGCGCCGACTTCGCCCTCCGGTCAGAGACGACGTTCCTGCTGCGGGAGCAGGGCATCCCCACCGCCCCCCTCATCTTTCGGGATGAGATCGACCTGGGGGGGCTGCACCGCGCCGGGCTGCTCTCCCTGACGCTAGTCGATCACCACGTCCTGCCTGGGTGAGCCGGGGCTGGGGGGACACGGGGACAACCAGAGCCACCCCCCCCCCCGAAGCCTCGCTTTGTTCCTCGCTTGATTTTGGCGGAGGGTGGGTAAAACTGTTCCATTTCCGGGGTGTTTTTAGGGGAGGAGAAGAGGAACAAAGTGGGTTTCCAGGCTCTGCTGGGGTGCCGGGGCTGTGGCGGGGGTCTCACCCTCCCCATCTCGCCCGCCAGCGCTGACGCCGCCCTGGAAGAGGCCGTGGTGGAGGTCCTCGATCACCGGCCGTTGGAACGGGACCGAGCCCCCGGCTGCCAGGTGACAGCAGAGCCGGTGGGCTCCTGCGCCACGCTGGTGACGGAACGGATCGCCCAAGGTCCCCCGGGCGTGCTGGACAGACCCACGGCCGCGCTGCTGCACGGTGAGGACGGGGCGGCCCCTCGCTGAGCCCCATCCGAGGGGGGACACTGACGACATGACGGCCCCCGGTTGTGTGTGTCCCGTCCCTCCCCGTCCCTGCCAGGCACCATCTTGCTGGACTGTGTGAACCTGAGCCCGGCCGCCGGCAAGGTGACGCCCCGCGACGTGGCGTGCGTCTCCCTGCTCGAGGCGAGGTTCCCCGAGCTCCCGCCCCGTGACACCGTCTTCGAGGCCCTGCAAGCGGCCAAGTTTGACGTCTCAGGTCTGTGCGCCAGGGTGGTGGCATCCAGGGTCTGTCTGGGAGCGGGTCCTGGGACAGACCCCTCTGCTTGGGGACAAGGGCGCGTCCCCGGGGCTCACGCTCGGCCCCTCTCGTCTTGCAGGGCTGACGACGGAGCAGATGCTGCGGAAGGACCTCAAAGTCCTCTTCGGCGATGAGCTGCTCCTCGCCGTCAGCGCCATCTACGTGGACCTGGAGGTGAGGCTCAACCCAGGGCGAGGGGAAACTGAGGCAGGGGGGTGGCACGATGGGGACAGCGGGGTGACGCCAGCGTCTCTCCCCCTCCAGACCTTCCTGCGCTGGCCCGGCTTGCTGCAGGACCTGGATGCTTTCTGCCAGGCTCGGGGCTACGCGGGGCTGGTGGCCATGACGATCTCTTTTAATGAGCGCAACGAGCCCTCCCGGCAGCTCGCGGTCTACAGCCGGCGCGAGACCCTCCGCAGCGCGGTGAGTGGGGCCAGGGGTGGGGGGCCGGGCCCCCCAGTCCCTCAGCACAAGGGGGTGGGGTAGGAGCCAGGCAGTTCTCAGCTGCAGTTTGCCCCCACACCCCCTGATTTTGAGGGGTGCTGGTGAGGGGGTCCTGGCCACGATGCTCCCTCCCTTGCAGGTGTGCCGGGCGCTGGAGGAGGCGACGACACCGGCCCTGCAGCTCCAGCCCCTGCCGAGCCCCTGGCCCTGCCTGGGCGCCTACACCCAGGGCGACGTTTCAGCGTCGCGGAAGAAGGTGCTGCCCATCCTACGGGCAGCCCTGGGGGGGCCGAGCGCTGCCGGGGGGCCGGAGGAGGAGGTGGTCCCGCCACCCACCCCGATGAACAGCCTGGTGGAGGACTGTCCGCTGGCACAGGCCGTGCCCCCCCTCTGCCCCCAGGATGTCCTGGAGCGGGTCAGCCGCATCGCCGCCGGGCAGCCCCCCGCCTCCCCAAAATAAGAGCGGGCACCCGGCGGCTTTTGGGGGGGGGGGGGGCGTACGAGGAGGTGGGGTCCCCGGGCAGGTCTCGGTGGGGTGCCCGGGCGCGGGGGGGTTGCATTAGAGCTCGGCTCCCTGGCGGGGATGGGTCCTCGCTGCGATTTGCTCCCACCAGCCAGAGGCTCCCCCCGCCCCAAGGGCGCTGCTGGGGTTTGGTCCCCCAGGGTGGGTTTTCGGGGACCCCGTGGGCCAGGGCAGCACTTGCACCCACTTAACGAAGGCGCTGGGGGAGTTAATGAGTTTTTGCCATTCTTCCTCCCCTGGGGGGGGTTCGGGGGGGCCACAGATGGCAGGTCCAGATGCGCACCAGCCCAGGACTGTCACCCACGTACTCCGAGGATTAAATTTCCCTTTTCTTCCACTTTTGGCTCTCAGCTTTTCTTTTGCGACCAATCTCATGCTGCCCCACTCACCCTGGGGGTGCCCACCATGGCCCCCCACCCTCCCTTTGGGCATCCTGGGGGGTGAACCCCCTCTTTTCCTGGGGTGCAAACCCCTCCTGCCAAGCCAGAGGAGCATTTTGTGGCCCTGTAGCGCGGGGGGGAGGGGGGGTGCTCAGTGCAGCTGAACCCCCAAATCCAGCCCAGCCGGGAGGAAACAGGTTGTGCTGTGAGGAGCCGTGGCATCTGCCAGCTGCAAATGCAGACAAACCGGTTCGGATGAGCCACCAGTGCCACCAGTGGAGCCCTGCACCAGTGGGGAACCACAGAGGTGAGCAGCCCTGGTGCTGGGAGTCCCTGAGGTCTCGTAGAGGGTTGAGCGGGGCTGTGATGGGGGTCCTTGAGGAGTGTCCGCGCTACGCCCCTGCAGCCGAGCGCTCCCATTTGCAACTGGTTTTGGTTTGGAAATAGGGTGGGAAAGGTGGGAAATGGAGGCGGTTTGGTGTGGAGCTACTGGGAGATGTGAGAGCCCTGAGGGGGCTGGTCCCCAAGCCGGGGCTGGCGTCTCTCTGCAAGTGACAGTGACAAGGATGGCTGTGGGGACAGCCTGGACCTGAGCGAGGAGTGGCAGGACGAGGACTTCCCCAGGTAAGGGGGCGAGGGGAGCAGCACCCCCAAACCTGCTCCTTCCCCACCCCCGGGGGTCCCGCTGACCCCCCCAGGCCCCTGCCAGAGGGGTTGCCAGGGGTGCCCCGTGGCACATGGGGAGGTGGCTGCCGGTGCTGGAACGGAGTGAGAGCAGGGTGGACGTGCTGGAGACACCCTCGGGCAGAGACGGCTTCAAGTGAGAGGGTGAGACCTGGCCGGGGTGGGGGTGTGGGGGGACCCCCAGGTTCCTGCCCTGGTGCCGCGCTAACCGGCCACCTGCTGAGGAGCTGCCGCACGCCTGTGGCTTTGCCAAGGGGGCTGGCGGCCGGCGGGTGCTGGACATGGAGGATGGCGTGGATCTGAGCACGGTGGAGCCCTACAGCCAGGTCCTCTCCCACGGGGGTAATGTGAGGCTGGGTTCGAAGGGGGGGACACTCCTGGGTCCCCTCACTGAGCCCGGTGGGTCTGGGAGGGACGGTTGGCACTGGCTGTGCCACCCTCCGCTCTGGCCAGGGTACCACGGCAGGGGCTTCGGCGCCATCCTGCTCTTTGCCGCCTGCTGCCTCCCGCACGGGAGCATCCCGCAGTACAGCTACATGATGGAGAACCTGCTCAGGTCCTCCCCACATGCCCCGTGCCTCAGTTTCCCCAAGCTGATGGGCCGCGCCGTCCCTCCAGGTACATCATGGGCACCCTGGAGAGGACGGTGGCTGACTGCTACGTCCTGGTGTGCCTGAGTGGGGCGGCAGCGCGGGGACAGATCCCCTCCTTCGGCTGGATGGAACGGTGCTACCGAGCTGGGATGGCAGCCGGGATGTGACGCGGTGACGGGGACAAGCGGTGGCATCGGGGGCTCTTGGTGTGCCCAAAGCAGTCCCCAAGCACCCACGGGTGAATAAAGGATGTGGAGGGGAGTGCGGTGCCCAGCGTCTGTGGGGGAGGTCTCGGCTTTTTCTGTCAAATTTGACAGCACCGGTAGCAGAGGAGGGAGGCGAGGAGCCCCGGGCAGACGCTCCTCAGGCAGCACAAGGGTTTTATTTCAAGGAGGGGGGGGGTGGTGTGTTTTTCCCGGAGGAGGGAAAACCGAATCAAGCACCGGCGCTTGCTTCCCAACGCCGAGCGTGCCGGGGGGCTGGCAAAGCCCGGCTCCACGCGGGAGCATCTCGGCGTGGCATGGAGCGTGGCACAGGGGGAAGCCTCTGCCAGCTGGCAGTGACGCCCGGCACGTGCTATTTAATATTTAATCCCGGTGCTATTTAAACTATATACACCCGCGCCCGAAATCGGGAGCCCGAGTCCCCTCTCAGGTCGGGCCCCGTCCTGCCTCAGCCGGTGCCGGTGAAACCCTGGTGGTGATCCCGGGTGGAGGTAGTCCCACCACGGTCCTGTCTCCGAGGCGGCGGAGGCTGCCTAGTTGTTTTTTTCTGAGCTTAAAAAAAAAAAAAAAAAAAAAAAAAAAAGAAATCCTAAAAAAGAAGGGAGGTGGCAGTTTTCCGGCAGTGGAAATGCCGACTGGAGGCACCGCGGGCTCGCTGATGGTGTCGGCGTTGAGCCGCTGCTGGTGAGATACTGAAGCGTCGGGGTTTAATCCCGGTTTTGCACCAAAGCGTCAGGGTTTAATCCTGGGTTTGCTCTTCTATGCCTTTCTGGGAGGGCACCAAATCAGCCTCTGCACCAGGACTGGCCTCGCTGTGCTCCCCCAGGGAAACTGAGGCACCGCGGCCTGGTGCCGAGAGGGGCCCAGGGGAGACACCAGTGTGGAAAAAGGGAAAACCGGGAGGATTTGGCACATTTCGTCTGAGCCCGGCAGCTCCTGGCGCACTTCGGGAGGGGAGTTGTGTCCTTTCGGCTGAAATGCTGGTTGGGCATGAGGTGGGGGCTGCCGTCCCCGCTCCCTCCCCGCGTCACCGACCCGATGCCTCCAGGAAGGAGGGATTTGCCAGGGGGACGACAACCAAAAGTCACCGGGAGCCGGGTGAGGATCGCTCTGCATAAATTACCGCGGGGTTAAAGCGCTCGAGGTCGGCTTCTCCTCCAGTTGGGGGATCAGGCAGTTCAAGTTTGGGCTGAAAAAGCCAGGAATCTGCAAAGTCCAAGAGGCTGGGTTACGGAACCGAACTCGTTTGGGTGTGTTAATTAGCAGTGGTGCCCCGGAGGGGGACAGCGGGTGCTCAGGGCTGCCACAGCCGCCCCCACGGCCGTGTACTCACACGCTACAAGACCCGGGAGTTGCTCCACTGTCGCTCCCGTCCACCCTTGGACCTCATCTCCTGGACGGCGCCGGTCTGGGGGGAGGGTGCAGAGGTGTGTCACCACCACTGTGAGACCCCTCACCCAATTCTGCTGTCCCGTCACCCAAGCATAGGACCTGGCACCCAAACATGAGGCCGCTTCACCCCACTCTGAGACCCATCAGCCAACTGTGAGACCCTACCAGCCCAGTGGGGACACCCATCAGCCAACTGTGAGACCCACCACCCCAGCATTGAGACCCAGCACCCCTAAAGCAACACCCATTACCCAACCGTGAGACTCTACCGCCCCAATATTGACACCCATCAGCCAACCATGAGACTCAGCGCCCCAAAAGCGACACCCACAGCCCAACGACGAGACTTGCCACCGCGACATTGTCACCCATCAGCCAACCATGAGACCCGCCACCCCAACCGTGCGCGTGGGTAGGGTACCATGGGCAGGCCTTCACCCGCAGCCATGTCACCAGAGCCGATGTGTGTCAGGTGGACGAAGTTCATGGGCTCCCCGATCATGGAGCGGTCGATCCGTCTCCTCCTCTTCTTCTGCAAGCAGATGAAGGCCATCAGCCCCCGTGGAGCCCACGGCCCCAGGACCCCAAACCCTCCCCAAACTGCTCGGGCTGAAGCTACTCACAGGCTGTGGCTTCTCTACAACGCAGCAGCCCAGCTTGTGCCAGAAGTCGCTCATATTCGCGGCGGCCAGCTTCCCTCCGTGCCAGGCCAGCTGCCAGGGGTGGGGGGCTGCGCCGGTGCAGAGACCCCCGCGCAGGGTCACTCCATGGGGATGGGTGGGGGGACCTGGTTGGGGTGGCACGGCGTGGAGAGGAGCAGCTGGCTGCGGGATTGAAGGGAGGGGTGATGCCTGCAGTCCTGCCTCCCCAAATCGATCCCAAATCCACTTCCCAAACAGAGCCAGAGACCCCCCAGAGACCCCGGGTGTCACACAGAGACCCCCAGGGACACCGAGCATTACACAGAGACCCCCAGGGACACCAGGTGTCACACACAGTCCACCTGGGGACCCCAGGCATCACACAGAGACCCTCAGGCACCCCAGGTGTTACACAGCCACCCAGAGGAATTGTCCCCATGGCCAGGGCAGGATCCAGCCCCGGCCCCTGCCCCGATGCAGGAGGTGTCTGAGGGATGCTGCGGCAGGATGGGGGGAACAGAGGCGGCCACGGCAAATCCCAACTCCCTGAGCCAGGCGGCTATAAATATCCCGGCCTTTCCGAAAAGGGGCCGGAGGTTGAGCTCTTCCGCTCCGGCTCAAAAAGCAGACGGGGGAAAAATAAACAGGGGCTCTGCCCGACCAGTGGGGCTCTGCCCCAAACCCCCACAGCCCTCGCTGGGGCAGCCAAGAGGGGTGTGGAAAGGGGGGTTCATCCCCAAAATGGGTGCTTCCCTCCCCACCCCAAAGAGAGACAACATTTTTGCTGCAAAAGCACCCGGCGGCGCAGACAAAACTCACCCACCCATGAAGGGCCGCGCCTGAGCACAACCCTATATCAGCTGCTGGAGAGTCCCCACATTGGCATGGGGGGCAGCTGGCAGCTGCACCGAGGCAAGGCCAAGTTTTGCCGGAGCGCGGGCGCAGTGGCAGACGGGTGCTGGACCCCACTGCGGCGGCAAACAGGAAAAGTCCCTTCCTCTGCCCCTGCGCCGGCAACGCCGGATGGGTCCAAAGTCCACGGCAGCCGGCCGGCGCTTCCTGCCCATGGCGGGGAGGAGCAGGGCCTGAAGCAGCTGGGTGTCGGGGCCGGCAGCCCCCCAAAATGGGGTGCTAACCCCCCGCCTTGGGTGCCCAGGGATGCTCCAACCCCACGGGGTTGCATTGCCTCGGTGCTGGCCTTGCCAGGGCCCGCGGGCAGGATCCGGCCCCAGGGTGACCCGGCTGCCCCCAGGAACGACCCCGCAGCCCATCTCCTTGGTGTCAGGGCACCGAGGGGGAGTGGGTGCCCAGCTGTGACCACTCCCCTCACATTGGCCCCATGTCCCAGTGGGGAAACTCGAGGTGCGACCGAAGGAGCCTGCCCGGACCGCCCCGTGCCCCTCACCCGTGCCCCTCACCGCTCAGGCCCCCAGCCCCCCCTCTGCAAGTGCAGCTGCTGAGAACGGGCAGGTTGTGACATGTCTGGGGTGGCGTAAGCCAGGGCCGTGCCCACGCCGGACCCGCACACCAGCACCCCCCAGCTAAACTTGGCCTCTCCCCGGGGCTGCGGACAGACAGACAGATGGACGGAGCGGGACAGGGGGGATGCCTTTTTTTTCTAACCCCATTTCCTTAGGAAATGAGGCTGCCGGAGCCGGCCCCCGCCATCATGCCCCAGCTCGCTGCCGGATCTGTCAGCACAGCGGAAACACCTTGGGGGGGATGGGGGGGGGGGTTACCCCCCAAAATTCAGCACTGCAACCAGTCCCCAGAGCTCTGGGAGAGCCTCCACAGGGAACCCCAGGAGCTGGCTCAGCCCCGTACAAGCCAGCAGCAAATCCCCATATGAACCCCAAGGGGTACAAGCCGCCGCGACCCCCCACTGAGACCCCTCCTTCCTGCCCCCCAAACCACCCCCCAGGCCTCACGTCCTCACACCCAGCGAAGGGCAATGGCTGGGGCTGGATCCGGCCGCTCTCCCGGTTCCAGGCAGTTGATGACAGTGGGTCCCGCAGGCCGCAGCTGCCCCAGTTCCACCCCCCCACCACCGTGGGGGTCCCACGTGCCCCCCTCACCCCTGCAATGAGTTGTGTCCAGTCTCAGCCTGCCTGGGCGCAGGGGCCCGGCCCCGCAGTGGCCCTGGGGAAGGCAGCTTACGGCCCAGCCTGCGCCGGCACACACAAAATGACTTCCCTGTTGGGAAACCACCGCTCGGCGGCTCTGCGTCACCGGCAGGGACCGGGGAGAGGAGTGAGGCTGTTCGGGGAGGGGGGCCCCATACCAGGCCCCCCAGCACTGGGGGTCACCCGCCCCAGGGGTGCCCGCTGGGGTCCCCCCAAGCTCGGAAGGGAGGGCAGTGTGCTGGGATGGGGTCGTTCTGGATGAGACCTGTGGGACCCCCCTGGCAGGGGGCCTGGGACCCCCAGGATGGGGTGGCAAAGTGGGGGCAGAACCCACTTTGCGTGGGATGGTCACAGCTACTACCAAGGGGGCACGGGGTGCCGGAAAGAGGCGGGGGGGGGGGGGGGGAGGGAATCCGTGGGGATCAGTAAGGCTGGGGTGTCCTAGAACGGCTGGAGGTCCCGGGGGGTCACTCTAAGGCTGGGGGGTTTGCTGCACGGCTGGGGGGTCCCAGGAGGGCAGGGGACCCCAGGGGTCCTGGGGAGTCCTGCTGGGGCTGAGGGTGTCCAGGCAGGGCTGGGGGATCCCGGTAGGGCTGGGGGGTCCGGGTAGGGTTGGGGGGGTCTCGGCAGGGCTGGGGTACCCCGGGATCCTGGTAGGTTTGGGGGGGTCCTGGTAGCGTCTGGGGGGTCCCGGCAGGGCTGGGGGGGTCCCGGTAGGGTTGTGGGGGTCCCGGTAGGGTTGGGGGTCTCATCTCGGTTGGGGGTCCCGGCAGGACTCCCCGGTCCGGCCAGGGAGCTGCAAGGGGGGGTCTTCCCGCCGCCCCCCTCCCGTCCCGATGCCCTCCCCGCCTTCCCACGACGCTTTCGGGGGCCCTTCCGCGGGGTCGAACACCCCGAGGCCTTGCGGGGGGCAGCTGCGAGGGTTGGGGAGGGGGGTGGGGGGGAGTCGAGTCGTTCCCGTGCCCGGCGGCGGCCCCATTACCTGCCCCTGCGCAGAGTGTGGGTCCCGGTGCGGGTCCCGGTGCCGGTCCCGGTGCCGGTGCCCAGCTCAGAACGGGCAGGCGTGGCCCGGCGGGTGCGGGACGCGGGTCGGGCCGGCCCGGAGCACAGCTCCCACCCTGGACACCGCCGGCATTGCAGCGGCCGCGGCCGGGAGGGGGGGCCGGCGAGGGCGGGGGTCCCGGCGGGGGGGGCGGTTCTGGGGGTCCCGGTAGGGCTGGAGGGGGTCCCAGAAGGGCTGGGCCGTCCTGGGGCTAAACAGTGCTTGGGGGGCCGGGGGCCTTGATAGGGGTGCGGGTCACAGGGGCAGGGGTGCAGGAACTCCGCAATGTGGGGGGCCCCTGGAAGGGGTGGGCTTTCTGGGGGTCCCGGTGAGACTGGGGGTCCCTGGCAGGGCTGTGGGGGGGTCGGCACGGCCGGGGGTCCCCAGCTGAGGGGTCCAGGGGGCTCAGTGCTGTTGGAGGACCCTACATGCTCCTGGGAGCCCTGGGGGGGTCCCAGGGGTCCTGGTAGGGCTGGGGGTGCCCAGCAAGACTGGGGGTCCCCACCAGGGCTCCCAAGCCTTATTCCCACTTTTTCCATGCATGTGCTAGAGAACCTCGGGGGACCGAAGCACCCGAAAGGGTGGGAACCCCCGGATCACCCCACAGCCGGTGTCGAGCAGCATTGCATCACTTCCAGCTCAGGGCCCTTCCGCTTGCACAACGCCCGCCGCGGTCCCGCCGTTGTCACCATCACCACCACGGTCCTGCCACTGCCACCACCAAAATCCTGCAGCTCCAGCCACCAGCCCAGCCGGCCTGGGACCGCGGGAGTGTCCCTTCCTGTGGGTCCCCAGCCTGCTTGGAGGGACCCACGCAGGGGACTCCCCTGGGTGAGCCCCAGCATGTCCCTTCCCACGTCAGCCCCCAAATCCCGGCCATCCCCATCGCTCCCACTCCAGAAGTCCCGAACAAGGCGGCACTGTCCCCGCTCAGTCGGGTCTCTGTCCTGCGCCTGTCCTGAGCCGTCGGGGCGGCCCTGGCTGATAATGCCCTGAGTGTTCGAGACCTCGTGTCGGCTGAAGAGCCCTTTTTTGTTTTTTTGGCTTCTCGTGCTGCCAGAGGACATTGTCCCCCAGTACAGCCCCTCCCGACAATGAGTCCATCGGGTCTGGGCAGCCCTCTCAAAACCACCGGGCCCAAAACTGCTGCGGTGAAGAGATTTCAGTCCCTGCGGCACGGAGGGACCCCGCAGCGCCACGGCCCCCGTCTTCCCCTGCAGGGTTTGGCCCCAGGTCCCTTCTCAGGGAGGGACGTCGCAGGTTTGGGTTGTCACACATGAGCCACCCCCTTTCAGTAGGTGACACCCTGCAGCGAAGGGATGGGTCACATCCAGCTCCCTGCGGAGTCACCCAGCCAAGCTGCACCCCATGGCCTCGGGGATCCCCAAAACCACAGCAGCTCAACTCCCCGGAGGGATCAGCATCCTCCACCGGGCCCCCTGTTGGCATTTTCCCTGTGCTGGGCACTGGAGGGGCTGAGCTGAGGCTGGGTCTATTTAGGAGGGGGACACGGGATCCTCTTGGCTCACAGTGTCAGCGGGGAGAGGAGGAGGAGGAGGAGGAGGCAGAAATAGCCCAGCTAAAAGCTGAGCACTGGCGAAAGGACTTGGCACTGGCTGCACACAGGGAGCAGGGAGGAAAAGGGAGGAAAAAAAAATCCCTAAAGCCTCAAAGGAATGTTGATCCCAGGCAAAGCCCAGGGGAGAGGGTGAGGGGTGCTCTCAGCCTTTCAGGGGCATGGATCCAGCCTGTGCTCCCCCAAAAAAGGGTGTTTTGGGGCTCAGTGGTGGCCGGGGCAGGGAGATTCACAGGTCTGCTGGGTGGCATTGGGGTTTTCTTTGCTGTCCTGCTGCCGTCCCACCGACACCGCATCAGTTCGGGGGCCGTGGTGATGGCCCAGTGCTCACAGGGGCTGTGGTGGGGAGCGGGGGGCAGGAGGACTGCATGAGGTGCCCCCCACCCCTTGGTTCAAAGCAGCCCTTCTCCCAGCCCTGGCAAAGATGCCGGCTTTGGGTGTCTCCCTCCTATTTCTAGCTCGACGTCTGGCTTCAGACACAAAGCCGAGATATTTTTGCCATGCAGCATCAGGACCAAACACCTCCAGACTCAGCAACGCCACAAAAAAAAAAAAATCCTTTTTTTTTTTGCACTAAACCTCCCTATGTTTGACCTGCAGCGTTCTCCAACAACCCAAGGTTCAGAGGTACTGCAGCACCTCATTTCTTTGCATGCAGGTAAAAAAGAAACCCTTCACGAGCACCTTGGAGGCTGAAAATGATCTGTTACCCCCCCAAATCCTGATCTGGAGGCTTCAGGAGTGAACTGAGAATCGCTGCGGGAAATCTCCCATCCTCCATAGGTTTAATATATCCCTGTCCTGGGGGTCCAGCACGCAGGATCCCCTCCTGCGCGTCTGCGTCGGCTGTCCTCCCCTCCCAGGCGCGGGTGGGAGCCGCTGACTCATCTGCCCATCGTCCCCCCCGCCCCCCCCCCCCCCCGACGAAGGGGAATTCATCGAGCGGCTTCGAGGGGCTGCATTGCAGACCCAGACGCGCCAGCAGACAAAAGCGACGCTGCGACGCCCGCGGCTTCCCAGCACAAAGAGCCCGGCCGGCACCGAGTCCGTCCATCCCTCTGTCCATCCTCGCCAGGTAAGGGATGGTGGGATGTGGGTGGAGGGGGATGAAGAGCAAGAAGATACTTTGTTTTTGGAAGAGATTTGGGTGGATGGGGGTGTTGGCACCCTGGGATTTTTTTTTTTTTTGGGGGGGGGGGGGGAGGGATGTGATCAACAACCAGCCAGGATTAACCAGACGAAGGTGGTTTTGCCCCCAAGGGACAAGCAGACCACACTCATTCCTGGGGAGATGCTCTTTCTTGGGGGTGACAGGCATCAGGGAGGGTTTTTTCCCCTCATATTGATTGCCTTTTCTGGAGATTTTAGATTTTTATCCCTTGTCACTAAACCCCCTTTTCCCCCTCTTTGAAGCTTTAAAACCCATTGTCCACAACATCCATCACCATTAAATCATTCACTGCTGTTGTGCAGAAAGATATCCAGGGATATATCCCTGGGGAGGAGGCTATTTCAAAGCACCGTGGCTCGATTTACCCAGGGGTGACACAGGAGCCTTTCATAGCCTCTGAGCTACATCGGGAACCTTAAATTTAGCAGCCGGTCACCCCGCATCGCACGGACGGGGAGCGAGGGAGGGCGTGATTTGAGGTATGTCTGAATCATCCTTTAGGATTCCCATTCCCAGGCTTAAAACAGCAGAATCAGTAGGAAAAGAAGGATATTTTGGGTCGGCTGGTTGATTTTTTTTTTTTTTTTCCCCCACCTCTGTTGCCAAATGCGGGGAGGTGAATGACATAATTCTGCCAGGGAAAAGCAAGTCAGCACAGCAGTGACTCAGCTCAGGCCATGCCGTGCCGGAGAAAATGCTGAACCACGGCTGCTCCTGCTCTTTCCCAATTCTCTGTGGATTGGGGTGGGGTTGCGGGAGGGGCTCTGCGGCACAGCACGGCGGGGCGGCACGGCATGGCGTGGCAGGATGGCACAGCACAGTGGCATGGCAGGCTGGGGTGACATGGCACAGTGGGGTGGCACGGCAGGGTGACACGGCATGGTTGGGATGGCATGGCACAGCGGGGTGCGTGGGCTGCAATGGCAACACCAAGCAATGCTTCTTCCAGTCCCTTCTAGAGGGTTCGGTCACGGTCCCCTGGGGCAACGCGATGCCACGCAGGCCGGGGAGGGTGGGGCTGGCGTGGGCTCCGTGGGCAGTGGGGGGATGCACAGGGACCCCTCCTCACTGCCTGCTCCATGGGGGGCTTGGCACAGGGAAAGCACGAGACCCTTTTGCACTGTTTGGTGGAAAAAGGGTTCACTTGGATCCGGTTTCTGTCCCTCCTGGCAGAGAGGGATGTGGGGGACAGACTGCCCCTGCTCCCCCTCCACTGATTCCCCCTCACAGGCATCGAGGTGCCCAGGATAGATGCCGGGAGATGCGGTTGGGAGGGGGCTCACCCCCGCCCTGGCCTTCCTTCCCACGCTCCCCTTTGTGTGGATGGGGAAACTGAGGCACAGAGTGATGAGTCCCATTGCACGCCCCTCCAAAATACAGCTCAGAGAAGGGCTGTGACCAAGGCCATGGACCAAGGCCAAGACCTCAGCAGCAGGGCTCAAGTCTGCACTTAGTCCCAGCCTAGAGTCAAACCTCCATGGCACCACACTCTCCTGCCCCATCAATATTTTTTTTTTGGGGGGGGCGGGTATCCTGTGGGATTTGGTCAATAAGGCAATACCTGAGAGTTTCTGCTGCTTTGGGGCAAATCCTGTCCCTTTGGTAGAGCTTTTCTCCTTTTCTTCTCTTCTCTCCCCTCACTCCCTTCACCTTCACAGCCCGAAAATGCTGGACACCATCAGCAGCCAGTACGATTCCTTCATCTACTGGAGGATGCCGATCCCACGGCTGGATGTGGCAGAGCTGGAGGGGCTGGGGCTCAGCGACATGGCCCTCTACAAACCCAAAGGAGGGCTGGGCAAGCTCGTCGGCGAGCGGGATCGGGACAGCCAGGACATCTCCGAAGAAGAGGACAATCTGCTGCAGTTCAATAGCTTTAATTTCTGGAGAGCCCCTATCGCCAGAATTAGCTCATTAGATTTCGATCTAATTTGAAGTCCTTCTCTCTGCTCTTCTTCACCCCCTCTGCCCTCTCCCTCTCTGCTAGGCATGCCAAGATTTGGTTTTGTTGTCCGTTTGGAGGTTGTTTTTTGTGTTTCTGGGCAGTTCTTGACATCACTAATTAACTCAGCAGTTCACCCTGGCCCTGATGGTGATGGGCTCCCCACAAAGCTTCACCCTCTCTCTACCTTCCCCCTCTTTTCTTCCCTTCTTGAGTCAGTGCTGGAAATACCACGACGGTGCAAGCAGGGGGTAACAGCACAGGGGGCAAATAGGAGGGGAGAGGGCAGAAGCAGACAACCCATTGCCCCACGTCTGCAATGCCAGCAGGTGCGGGAGGTGCTGGGGGCTCCTGCCACCCCCCCGCATCCTGTGGCTGTGTGACCATGGGCATCCCCGTGCTCTGGGACGAGCGGTTCAGCTCATTTCTCGTGTGCTTTTTTAAGAAACTCATTTGTGCAAAGAGAACGGCGCAGGACTGATGGGAATCGTCTTTGTTTTGCAGAAAGCACTGTCCCAGCTCTTCTCCCAGGGACGCAGAGACCCTCTGTGCTCCCCTGGCCCAGTTTCTCCAAAAGCCGCTTCGCTCCTTATTCCTCCCATCGGGAATGCAAGGTGTAAGAGGCAGGTTTGTGCTCGGATCTCGGGCACATTTCTTTCTTAAAAGAAATCATCTCTTTGAGCCTTGTGGCTTTGAGCCCAAGCAGGAGAAATGATGGCCAGGAGGGTAAATACACATGGAAATGCTCTGACTTTGCTTGGTGGGATCCAGGCTGGATGTTCAGGGCCAGAAATTTTATTTTTTTCTTCTTTTTTTATCCCCCATGTGCTTTATCCCAGGCATGACTCCTGAGTGGGACAGAGGCTGGGCGCATCGTGGGGTCCAGATGGGTAACGCAGGCTGAACTGAAAGAAAGATAAGATGGAGAATTTAGTTTGATCTTACCCCAAAATGAAAATGTTTCTGGTTCCCCACCCAATTAATCAATTGCTTTAAAAATAATAACCGAAGATGCTGCATGCACTCAAGTGGAAGCCTTGCATTTTTCTTGTGGAGGTTTTCACCTGTGCTCTCCGTGGGTTGAGGTTTATTTCTGAGCATCATCTCAAAATGGGGGAAAAAATATCCCAACCCCAATCATTTTTGGCTTGTAAACATGTATTTTTTGCCAAAGTTGTTTTCTGGGAGAGGGAACACAACTGGTTTGTCTTCTTCAATGTACTTTTTTTAGGTTTAATTGGGGTGAAGTTGTGATGTGGAACATCCTGAAACTGTCCTGAGAGGTGGGGGGGGCACATGGCCAGGGGAAGGCTGAAGCAGCATTTAAAAAGCACCCCAAAAAAAGAAGGAAATATTGGAAAAAATCTACACTCTATTATGACAAAGGAGCACAGCTCTCCTGCAACATCCAGAAATGACCCAGCCTGCTGACTTTGAACCACCTGTGTAAAACTAGAGGTGAAAAATGTAAACTCTCCAATGCAGAGCTGTTTGATTTCTGTGTTCCCAGCTGGGAAAACACGCAGAAGTATTTATTATGAAACTCTAAATAAAATGATTTAAAACCATACACATTCCTGTGGACACTTTAAAAATCCATGTAGAGAAGCATCAAGTTCTTTCCACAATTTGCCATTAAATTATTTTAAATCTTTTTATGGTGAGCTGAGAACTGACACGATAACATGTACCCACACGTCTCTGCAAGTGCTGTGGATGATTTAAGTGTGGAAAAAGTAAGCCTAGGATTATTTAAATTTAAAAACATTGATATTATTTAAACTTCAGCTTTTCGAAACCCCACAGGAAAACGTCCCAGAGAAGAGAGAGGCCCCAGGGCTTCACATTTACCTCACAACTGACACTCTTAAACATATTAGGGGCGCCGGAGGCGGTAGCGCACCACAGAGAGGGGGGCTTTGGAACCCTTTCTTCAAGGGAACCCACTCCTTAACAGGAAGGCGCTGAGACTTTACCTACATATACATATAAATATATATATTTGTTTATAAACATACACCTACCAAAAGCTCTACCAAGCACAAAACCCGCCTGAGGGCGGAGCCGCCACCCTTTTATACTTGGCGCCTAAAGGCTTCTGCCGGAACTAACTGCAGGGACGCATCACCTTCCTCCGCATCAACCTGCACAGCGAACCTTACTGATATTCTTCCGCTAGAGAAAAATACTCCCCCCTTTAGGGCCCCCCCGTTGCTCGCCGCCCTCCTCCAGGCCCCCGGGAGGAGACGGAACCAAGGGAAAGGATGAGAAATTCCCTAATCCCGCCCCGTGCCCCCTGCGACAGAGCGAGAGCAGCTCCAACCCGCCCTTCCTCCGCCGTCACCAGCGGACTCTTTGCTGTATCCTTCCGCTGCCACCGCCTGACTTCGCTTCCGGGTCGGCCATTTTGTGTGGCCGCGGCGGGAGGGGCGGGAACAGCCGCGAAGAGGGGATGAGGGGGGCGGTGCCGCGCGCCGGGAACAGCCGCGTGCCTGGGGGGGGGCCCGAGCCGCCGCGTGAGTGGGGCCGGGGGGCGGCGGGGAACCCCCCCGTGAGGGAAAGGGAACCCCCCCCCCCCCATGAGGGAAGGGGTGGAGGTCTGAGGAGGGGGGACCCCTGTGGGGGAGGGACCGGGGTCTGTGTGTGTCGGGGGGTGGGGGTGTGTTTTGGGGGGTCCCGTCGGGGTGTTCGTATGGGGGCGGCACGGGGGGGGGGGGGGGGGGGCTGCCCCGGGGGAGCCGGAGGGGGGTCCTCGACCAGGGGAGGGGAAAGGGGCACCTGTGTCCTGCAGGGAGGGGGGCCCGGGAGGGGTTTGGGGGGGCCCGGGAGGGGTTTGGGGGGGCCCGGGAGGCAGGGCTGCAGGGCTGACCCCCCCCCCCCGCCGGCTGTGCAGAGGGAAGTTCAGGGGTTTGGGGAAGCGTGAACTTCCCTTTTCCTTCTGAAATGTGGCGAAGGGGGGCTGGAGGAGTTTGTCAACAGCAGCCCCAGCTGCGAATACTGTAAATAATTAAAAAAAAAAAAAAAGAGAGGGAGCCGCAGACTTAAATCCTCCCTGAAATTATCCAGCTGGGAAGAGAGCGGGAATGCAAGGCCTCCAAATAATTAATTAGTGACAAAGGTTCCGTTTAACACCAGGAGAGAAACTAATGGTTTTTGTTAATGATCCAGCTTCTTTCTTTTCTAAACACACACAAGTATGTAAGCTGGTGGTTAACTTTGCGAATGCAGAATTCGGTGCAACAACTCATGCCCGGAAAGCATGCAAGTGTTTTCAGCGTGGGCGATGAGAAGGAACATTTAAAAAATATTCTCTGTCTCACCAGAATTGAGAAAAGGGGGAAAAAAAAACCCCTAAACTGGAAAGTCCTAAAGGGCAGAGAGGTTGTGGTAGTCAACACATGCATCATAAATGCGTCGGAGGCCCTGATTGCAGAGTCAACTCTTGAGTAACTGCTCTGGGCTCTTGACTTCCAAGCCTCAGGTGTCACACGTAATAACTGCACGCTCAGAAAAAGCTACACACGGAAAATAGCCGTATAAATTGAGATGTGTGTGTGGAGGGAGGTGATGTGGGCAGTGTATCCCGGTGAGAGTAAGGGGTGAGGTTTGCAGTTCAGCTTTACTTTCAAGGGCTTGTGCTGGTCCTGCTGGTCACTGAGGACAGGGTGGGATGTTTCTCTTGAAAGAGCAAGAAATAAGAAAGACAGAAATAGAGCTTCCAGCTATTTCATAGAACTGTAATTGAAGGAGGAAAATCGGTCGAGGGCCTCGGTGCTGTTGGGGTGGCCGTTAGGCTGGGTGGCACGGTGCCCGTTTGCGCAGACGTTGGTTTGTAGCCGCTTTACTGAACGTGGTACCTGAGTTAATGGGTAGATGTTAAAGTCAGCCTTTGGTAGGACTGGGGTACCAGCGTAACCCTGTCGTTGAGAAAAATGCTGTAGTTCACCATTGCTGCAATTATGCTGTGTTTTATGTAGCTTGGAATAAATAAAAACGCAGTTATCCGGTACATTGAGCACAGCTTTTGGGTTCAGCTCCTTTCATGACCTTGAACGAGTCACTGGAGTTACCAAGGTTTGTTTTATTCTCTGCCAGCAGAGAACAGGGAGAGTTCCCCCATGCTTAGTTGCTAGCGCTGGGGTCAGCGAGAGTGTCTGGGAGATTAAATCGTGTTCTTAAAGCGCTTTAAAAATCAAAATGACATTGTGTACAGGGTGTGAACAGCTTCGCTGTTGCTTTTCTAGGTTCTGCTCTTGCAACTGGATCCACATGGGCAAGTCTTCATGTCTGTGCAAGGCGCTGTTGAGGTAAACGGGATTTTTCAGGAGCTTGGGTGACTTGTGGTGTGTGCCCCGTTTGCTGAGCCTGTGTGCTGCCTTTGCTTGACGTTTTCGGGCATGAAACTGGAAAATGTGATAAATATTTATGCCCGTTTACCGATCATGTTGGGCCTGGTTCTGTACGGGAAGATGGCGTGTCCAGATGGGCTGTAGTTAGACAGCACTTTTAAAAATGTCTCTGCCTCACTGCTCTTTGTTTTTTTCCCATTTCTTGCCTCTAAAGCAGCTTTCAGCAAATACCTGCTCCCATGTATGAAGATGTCCTTAGTGGACCTAGGGAAGAGGTTGCTAGAAGCAGCTCGCAAAGGCGAAGATGACGAAGTGCGAAAGCTGATGGCGAGCGGTGCCCCCTTCACCACCGACTGGGTACGTCGGGGAGCGGACGCTGGTTTTCCACGCAGAGCGGGGGGCGCGTGTGCTTGAACCTAAAGGATGCAGATGGAAATCGGAGCGGTAAAACCAGAGTGTGGATTGGCAGAAAATGCATCTCTGGATTTCTGTGGTGGAGCAGATTCCAGATGAAGCACTTGGTAACCCAAAACATTCCCCAGGCAAAGATGAGTTGATGCTTCTGTAAAGAGTGGTCTCCACCTAATGCGGGAGAGCAGAATCACAGGGACTGTGCTGTCCTGGACAGCAACATACACAGGCTTTGGTGCTTTAAGAAATGCAGTTTCCAGCAGCTAAGTGATGATGAGTCAAGTCAAATTGGAAAAACAGTTAAACCTCTCAGTAATAGGAAGTTCTCTTAAGAATGCTTTTTAAAATTGTTTGAATTTTCTCAGTCAAGAGACTCATTTTTGGGTTGTGTGTTGTTTTTTTTTTTTTTTTTTGTTTCCTTAAAAAAACCGAAACCCTGAAAACAAACCAGCATATACTGGGTTGGAAAGGAAATAGAAGCCTTAATGAAACTGAAGTTGGATAAACAGGGAACCAGAGTATAATGAACAAGCCATTGGTAGCTGTTTTCCATCACAACTATCTTCGTTTCCTAACTTGCCGGTCTGTTCATTCATAACTTCACGAGGTGAAGGAATGAACTGTATCGAGAGGAAGCAGAGCCTAGTGATATTGTAAAACTGCCCTTTTCTGAACAGTGGTGAAATTATCTGTCGCGATAGTGAAATGGCAGAGCTGTTCTGCTGTGGTTTGAAAAAGAAGCAGAGTGATGCTCAGGGATAAGTAAGTGGCACAGTAGAGACAGTAAACTATGTTTGATCGTCAGATTATCTGATAATGTAAGGATCCCTAAAGAGTTGTTTGAGGTTTATCAGGAAAATTATTGGATGTGCAGCCCCCTATTTCTGAGTGGAGAAAAAAAAAGGTTAAATTAATTTCTTCCAGAAGCTTTGTCATTTTAACTACTGCCGGACATACACGTGGTGATTACTGTGGCTGTCCTCTCTCGCTGTGAGCAGACAGTGACCCTTCTAAATTAAATTAACATGCAGCTCGGGACGTCGCCGCTTCACCTGGCTGCCCAGTACGGCCACTATTCGACAGCAGAAGTGCTGCTCCGCGCTGGTGTCAGCAGAGATGCCCGAACAAAAGTGGACCGGACACCACTACACATGGCTGCGGCCGACGGGCACACTCACATTGTGGAACTGCTGATTAGGGTGAGGATGGCAAATCGGCTCTGACTTGAAGGCTGGTCTAAATCACCCTTGGAGTTCAGTGCTGATGTCTCTGTTTAAACGCGAGTGCAGGCACCGCCTTTAAGGAGCGTAAGACAAGTAATGCTTATTTCTTTCAGAACGGGGCTGATGTAAATGCCAAGGACATGCTGAAGATGACTGCTCTGCACTGGGCGACAGAGCACAACCACCGAGACGTCGTAGAGCTGCTCATCAAATACGGAGCTGATGTCCATGCTTTCAGCAAGTTTGATAAATCGGCTTTTGATATTGCTTTGGACAAGAACAATCCAGAGACTCTGGTAATGCTACAGGTGGGTCGAGGAGGGAGAAACTTGTTTGTAATTCTCTGCCCCACAACTGCATCTACGCTAGAGTGAGAGGGATCCTGTTGTGTCCGATGAGATCATTTTCTGTTTGCAGGGAGAACAGGAAATATGGAGGTGGGTGAGGTTTGGTTTATTTCTAGACCGACCAGTGTGTATCTGCTAGGACGCGGTGGGTGATGGGGTTCTCTTGCGATGGGGCTTTATTGCCACGCGTCTGGCAGGGTTGTAGCGTAAGTTGACAAGTTTAGGTGGCAGTTTTGTCAC